GCTGAACAATTGAGAGTCAAACAATTTAACTTGGCAGAGAATGTGATAAATCTTGTAATAACAAATATTAATGAATCAGGTATATAAACAAGAGGCCCAGAGGGCCTGTATCGCTCACCTGAATATGTTTAAAATAATTGGTATGAAGTAAAGATATAGCACTCCATGGTAGGTGCTGTAAGTACATATGAAATTTCAGAAAGATCCATCCAGCACTTGAGATAGAGCGAGAACAAAACTTCAAACAGAGCCCCATCCCCTAGTAGGGTCACACCCACCAATTATACAAATTTGAGTCCCCTTGACCCAAGGATGCTCCAGACTAAATCAGGATAAAATCCCTTAATCCCGATGGTCGGAGAAGGACTTTAAAGGTTTTACCTCTATTTCTCCTATTTTGCCCCGCACTTCTGCCCCTTGGGAGACCACACCCACTGCTTATACAAAATTGAGTTCCCTTGGCCCAAGGATGCTCCAGACAAAATTAGGATAAAATCCCTTAATCCCTATGGTAGAAGAAGGATTTTACCTCTATTTCCCCTATTGGGGCCCACCTCTCTGCCTCCAGGGGGGTCAGACACACCATTTATACAAAATTTGTTCCCCCTTCACCCAAGAGTGCTTCATACCAAATTTTGAAAAATATCCTGTCATTCCTACAGAAGAAGAAGGATTTTAAAGAATTTGCTGTTTCCCTTATTAGGCCCCTCCCTTCTGCCCCCAGGGGGGGCCACACTCGCTGTTTAAACGAAATTGAGTCCCTTTTGCCTCAGGATGCTCCAGTCTAAATTAGGATAATATCCCTTAATCCCTATGGTAGAAGAAGGGTTATAAAGGTTTTACCTATATTTCCCCTATTGAGCACCGCCCCTCAGATCCCAGGGGGGGCCACACCCACCGTTTATACAAAATTGGTTCCCCTTTACCCAAGGATGCTCCACACCAAATATGGACCAAATCCTTTCATTCCTACAGAATAAGAAGGATTTTAAAAATTTGTTATATTTCCCCTGTTGGGCCCGCCCCTCAGCCCCCAGGGGGACCAGACCCACCGTTTATACAAAATTGGTTCCCCTTTACCAAAGAATGCTTCAGACCAAATATAAACCAAATCCTTTCATTCCTACAGAAGAATAAGGATTTTAAAGAATGTTTTGCTATCTTTCCCCTATTGGGCCCCGCCCCTCAGGCCCCTAGGGGGCCGGACCCACGGTTTATACAAAATTGGTTCCCCTTCACCCAAGAATGCTTCAGACTAAATATGAATATGGACCAAATTCTTTCATTCCTACAGAAGAATAAGGATTTTAAAGACTGTTTTGCTATCTTTCCCCTATTGGCCCCCGCCCCTCAGGCCCCTAGGGGGCCGGACCCACGGTTTATACAAAAATGGTTCCCCCATCACCCAAGGATGCTTCAGCCCAAATATGGAACAAATCCTTTTATTCCTACAGAATAAGAATGATTTTAAAGAATTTGCTATGTTTCCCCTATTTGGCCCCTCCCCTCAGGCCCCTGGGAGGCTAGACCCACGGTTTATACAAAATTGGTTCCCCCATCACCCAAGAATGCTTCAGACTAAATATGAATATGGACCAAATCCTTTCATTCCTACAGAATAAGAAGGATTTTAAAGAATTTGCTATGTTTCCCCTATTTGGCCCCACCCCTCAGGCCCCTGGGAGGCTAGACCCACGGTTTATACAAAATTGGTTCCCCCATCACCCAAGGATGCTTCAGACCAAATATGGAACAAATCCTTTTATTCCTACAGAAGAAGAAGGATTTTAAAGAATTTGCTATATTTCCCATATTGGGCCCCGCCCCTCAGCCCCAAGGGGGGCTACACCCATCATTTATACAAAATTTGTTCCCCTTCCCACAAGGATGCTTCTGAGCGAATTTGGTCAAAATCTGCTCAGTCGTTCATGACTAGTAGCGTTTTAAAGGAAAAGTTGATGGACGGACGGACGACGGACGCTGCGGTATAGCATAAGCTCACCATGGTCCTTTGATACAGGTGAGCTAAAAAACCAGCTACAAGTAAACGTTGATCCTAGGAGTTTACTGCATTGTATTTCATCACAAACATCCATTAAGTACTCACTGGAATACGGCCGTCCACGTAGTGACCGGACGCCTTCATCAGGTCAGTGTTAAACAACGCACTGGGAACCACAAATAGCTTTGGCAAACTGACACAGAAAAAAACATACAAATTTATAGTACACCGACACTTGTCTTATCTGACATGTATAACATAACATACAGTCAGATTAACCTGTCTAATTTGACACCCTGTGGGACACAGCATATTGTTAACCTGTCTAATATGACACCCTGTGGGACACAATATATTGGTCAGATTAACCTGTCTAATCCGAGATCCTGTGGGACACAACATACATCCATATTAACCTGTCTAATCCGACAACCTGTGGGACACAACATAGTCAGATTAACCTGTATAATCCGATACTATATAGGCCACAACATACGGTCATATTAACTTGTCTAATCTGACAACTGTGAGACAGATTAGACAGTATGTCTGAATAAACAGGTCAATATTTTTAGTTTTCATAAGAAATAGCATATCAGCATTATGTTTCATTAGAACATCAGATTAGACACCCTCTTACACTGAACTTGATGCTCAGAACTTGGTCATGGGTAACACATGTATACACAATCGAGGAAAATAAATGTTTTAAACAATTTATATTTCGGTACACTGATCTGATCTCCACCCTATCTGTATTTCGTAAATATCTTTTATTTCATATTCTACATCGGATTAAGTTTTCTCCTCAAATAAACATAGCATGGGATATATGTTTAATTATACAATAGCGGTTTATTTATCAAAGAATCACAATCACTTATCACTCTATCAAAGACACTACTACTGTATACCAGGCAAGTATCTGTCAGTTTAACTTCTTTTTTTTCCCTTCACCACGAGGGAAAATATATCCCGACAGCAGATATTATACCAAATTTACTATATGTACATGTATAGAATGCTGAACAACCATAAGTTTTACCAGTAATGGGCGAAGGTATACGATATACAGTGTATCAGGATTTCATTGTCTATTTGTACCTAAATAAAGCTAATGGTTCTACTGAAAAGCCAAGACAGAAATTTAATCCTTCCATACAAAAAACTATGGACCATTTTCACCAAAACCCCCATTTTCTGTTTATTTTCAAGTTTGACCTTTTTTTTCCGATTTTCCTGTGTAAACACTGACCTTATAGACATGTCAAAGCCCTTGTTGACCTCTGTCACCCTCCACTTGGTACATTTACACATGTTCAATTCCATATCCCAGTCAGAAATGTCTTCGTAAAGTGGTGTCTCACACATATAATCTGTAAAATTAACAAAAGTTGCATGCTACCCGTAATGTAGAAAAAAATAAAAAAAAATAAGTGATATCTTTGTTAACAATTCATAAACATGCACTTTAACCTAAATATCTACTAACAGTTCATAAACATGCACTTTAACCTAAATATCTACTTACAGTTCAAAAACATGCACTTTAACCTAAATATCTTATTACAGTTCATAAACATGCACTTTAACATAAATATCTACTTACAGTTCATAAACATGGACTTTAACCTAAATATCTTATTACAGTTCATAAACATGCACTTTAACCTAAATATCTTATTACAGTTCATAAACATGCACTTTAACCTAAATATCTACTTACAGTTCATAAACATACACTTTAACTTAAATATCTACGTACAGTTCATAAACATGCACTTTAACCTAAATATCTTCTAACAGTTCTATTCAAAACCGATTGTTCCACCTCCTTTACAAGAGACACAAATGTTGACAGCTGTATAGATGGAGCTTGGATATTTAACTCTAATTATTGACAGCTCTTGATACAAGATGACCCCCAACCCAGAGTTCAAATGCAGTGCAGTGCTCTTGACCCCAAACTTAAATTTTGGTGACACATTTTCAATCAAGTTCATATCTTTTTCCTCCTTTCTTGTTTTAAGTTATCTAATTACATGTAATTCTTCACAAAGAGCAGGTTTATTTTGCCCTTTTCTTCAGCATTTTTATCTTGTTTGAGCCAATTCATACCTTCCTTTGGTAAACTCTTGCCATAGTCAAAAGCAAACAGAAGGTTGGATTTTGAAGGATAGGCATGGTGAACGACTGCATTCATAAGCTGTAAAATAAAATCCATGAGTACATATTAAAATCTGTAAATAAAGAATAAAGACTGCCAAAGGGAGCAAACAAAATCAGCCTTAATACACAGGAGGTCATTATAGACAGGTGGTCTTAAAGACAGGTCATTATAGACAGGTGGTCTTCAAGACAGGAAGTCATTAAAGACAGGTGGTCTTAATACATATGTCATTATAGAAGGTGGCTCAATGCACAGGAGGTCATTATAGACAGGTGGTATTAATACACAGGTCATTATAGACAGGTGGTCTTAATACAAAGGAGGTCATTATAGACAGGTGGTATTAATACACAGGAGGTAATTATAGACATGTGGTCTTTATACACAGGTCATTATATGCAGGTGGTCTTAATACACAGGTCATTATAGACAGGTGGTCTTAAAGACAGGTGGTATTTATAGACAGGTGGGGGTGGATTTTATAGTATTTCAGTTTTAGTAACACCAATCAAATAAAAGCACCCTGTTCATTATTTGAAATGTCAACAAGGAAGAGAATTTCTAAAATATTGTCCGAATTTTACTAAAATAGAGGAAAACCTTTGATGTTACACCAGCCAGCTTGACCATTGGTGTGACAAGTTTAAGAATGAAACCAACAGTACATTCAGCTTACGATTCAACCTGACAGTGGTCAGTTTTGTTTCGAAAGGAACTTACCTATTGGTATTATTTTTATGATAACTTTAATAGATTAACTTTTCAGGTGGTTTGGTGGCAAAGTGGAAAAAACACTCGCCTTTCACCAAGATGGCCAGGGTACAATTTCCTGATCGAAAATGAAAAGATATTGCAGGGTAACCTGCCCGACTACATGGTTTTTCCCCCTGTACTCCAGTTTCCTCCCACATTAAGACCCACCACACCTTACATTCTAGGCCGCCTTACATTCCAGGCCGCCTTACATTCTAGGTCGCCTTACATTCTAGGCCGCCTTACATTCCAGGCCGCCTTACATTCTAGGTCGCCTTACATTCTAGGCTGCCTTACATTCTAGGCTGCCTTACATTCCAGGCTGCCTAACATTAGGCCGCCTTACATTCTAGGCCGCCTTACATTCCAGGCTGCCTTACATTAGGCCGCCTTACATTCTAGGCCGCCTTACATTAGGCCACCTTACATTCAAGGCCGCCTTACATTCTAGGCTGCCTTACATTCCAGGCCGCCTTACATTCCAGGCCATTCCAGGCCGCCTTACATTCCAGGCCGCCTTAAATTCTAGGCTGCCTTACATTCCGGGTCACCTTACATTCCAGGTCACCTTACATTTTAGGCCGCCTTACATTCGAGGCCGCCTTACATTCTAGGCCGCCTTACATTCTAGGCCGCCTTACATTCCAGGTCGCCTTACATTCTAGGCCGCCTTACATTCCAGGCCGCCTTACATTCTAGGTCGCCTTACATTCTAGGCCGCCTTACATTCCAGGCCGCCTTACATTCTAGGTCGCCTTACATTCTAGGCCGCCTTACATTCCAGGCCGCCTTACATTCTAGGTCGCCTTACATTCTAGGCCGCCTTACATTCCAGGCCGCCTTACATTCTAGGTCGCCTTACATTCTAGGCCGCCTTACATTCCAGGCCGCCTTACATTCTAGGTCGCCTTACATTCTAGGCCGCCTTACATTCCAGGCCGCCTTACATTCTAGGTCGCCTTACATTCTAGGCCGCCTTACATTCCAGGCCGCCTTACATTCTAGGTCGCCTTACATTCTAGGCCACCTTACATTCCAGGCCACCTTACATTCCAGGCCACCTTACATTCCAGGCCACCTTACATTCCAGGCCACCTTACATTCCAGTTCGCCTTACATTCCAGGTCGCCTTACATTCCAGGTCGCCTTACATTCCAGGCCAACAAGAGTGACTAATATAAGTTGATCGAACTTGTTTCGCAAATGTTGTAAAATAAATAAAGTTTATTTTTAACTTTAATATAAGGATGTCTATTAAATTGAAAATGTTATTAATTTCAATTTCAATAAATCATGGTGGTAGCTTTATTAATTATATCATTTGATATAGTTTACCTTTTTGTTCTGGTCTTTGGGTGAAAATTTGAATCCGAATGTGTGTACTCTGAAGTCCTGAAGTCAAATGAAAACAAAATTATCACATATACATTATATGTGTTTTAAACAAAGACCTGATATTTTTATAATGATGTGATCAATAACAGCTGACAATTCACTGTGTTATGAGTGCAATATCTTAATTTGAAATTTGCACACAGGCAGTATTCAATTAATGTAGGACTCTGATGTATATTACATGTTGTACCCAAGCTTTTTATTGTTTTAGCATTTAAGAAAGCAAATTTTCACAAATATCACCGTCTTCATTGCTAAGATTGTGCAGTTGTTACAAGAGTATAAGATTCTGTTTCTCATAAACCTTGCAGTGGAGCTCGAGATATTTTGTGATGTTGGAAACCGTCATTCCTGCTGTCAGCTTTCTCCTCCTCCCAGACGCAACTAAAACATCAAGACTGACCTCATAAGAAGTGAATATTGATTGCATCAAAACCTGTCTAAACTGACCACAATGATATTTGTCTGAACTCAACACCATAGTGCCGACGTCATTTAAATCAGATTAGGAAAGATTTTTTATTACATTGGTTTTATTTATATCGAAAAAGTGTAGTGGGACCTAAACCAAACTTCAGTCATGTCTAGATAATTTATTGCCACTTAAATGACTTGAATAGTTGATATATATTGCCACTATAATATAATTTGAAACATAACCTCATTGTTCTTTAATGGAAAAGAGGTAACTCTTCACAGTAACCAGAAAGACAAAAATACCCTTTAATACCAAATCTCCCTAATTTGACTTGACCATCTTGTACTGTAATATATTATACCAGATGAATATCATTAACTACTCATCAAATTTTAACACTGACTCAAATTAGAACTTCAGCATTTGCATGAAAAACTAAGATAGATTAGCAATTCTGTTTATGTTAAAAATATTTTGAATAATACTTTTTTCTAGAGTGTATTTACATGGATTTTCTTCCAATTCCTAATTTTTTCTATATAAAAGAACTGGCAAACTGTAGATAGCAGATTATTCATAAACCTACCCTGATATATGGCATCGATGTTGGTGAGAGGAACGTCTGTGTCTCTGATCAGTTTGTTTCTCTGTCTCTTGGCTGATGGCTAAAGAGTAAGAAAATGTTCATTACTGATGATATTAAGATAAGCTGCAGTAAAGACTTCTTATCTTGAATGTGTCAATTACATCATATGACATATTCCATTAAAGAATGATATTGATAATTTCCTATAAATAGAAATCTTTTAAACTACAGTGAATCCTCCCTAAACTTAATATCTCTGGCAAAAAGGTTTCCATTAAGCCATGCAGTTAATTTGGATGTTTAAAGTTCAAAATATCATGGATGAGTCATTATTTCAGCATCAGCAAAATTTAACATTACTGATTTTTTTCACCTACCCCTTCGTACGAGGATCGGTCTGCAGTGATGAAGGAAACCTTGAAGTTTGTAACAAACAGCTTTCCTGATATGCCCTTTTTCTTCTCTGTAAAGGGTGTGAAACTCAGGACGCTGTCTGCCTCCGTAACCAGGCGTTCACCTGTCAACCAAACAAAAGGTTATTAAATCTAATTCTTTATAGAAAAGAAATCATGAGACAAAAGAATATCATGATTCAGTAAAATCTTTTTTATTTGTTTAGAATCACATGAGCGTTTGAAGGGTATACCTGGTAACATGTGTGGAGCAAGATCTGTCTGGAAAAATGCTGAGGCTCGCTTGTCAAGTTCATCCTGTCGAAAAACAACCAATATAAATTGAGTAACAGTCTGAGGTAATAACACTTTTTTTTCAACCTTTTCCCACACTTTTCAATCTTTCACAGCTTTTTCAGAGGCAAGAAACTATGTTTTTGCTTATAATTTAATGAATTTGTCACACAGATTTAATATGCAGCTAAATCAAGTACAGTGAAACCTAATTTAATTTAATATTTCAGATACCCGGTACTCATATCAAATGTTATTTCAGAAATGTTTTTAGGACGACAAACTCCAGATAACTGAGTTTCCATTCTATATATACATACAATGTTCAAATACACATACACCAACATCATCATAACATTAGATAGATTGATACTGGTCTGGACAATGACCGCTGTAAGCGCTAGCAGACGTTATACACAGTTTTTCCACATACGCATGTGACATATTGACATGACAGGTTTATTAATTACACCGAGTGTGAGAATCAATTTCTAGCGAACACAGACAAGCATACTTTATTATATTACTACAGCGTTAAGGGTGTATGCTACACTACTCTGATGTCACTAGCAAAGACAGGGAAACAGGATAAATGATAAGACATCAGTGGGAGATATCGACCAATGGTGGGCTAAGGGGGTGCCTGATCTCTCCTGAAGAAAATTGTTTTTTTTTATTAATGTAAAATGATGTCTCCTGCAAATTTTGCCCAAAACATGCTCTGGTCTCTCCCTTTAGAAGAATTGGAGCCCTTCATTTCAAAATCCATCCTTCTTCCAGAGTTTTACCTACATTTATGTCCAAACATCACATTAATCTGGACCTAAAGCAGAAAACTTGCAATATAGAAACACCAGTTTTCCACATAATGCTAATTAATTTGGAAATTTGCATCTTTGATCCAGTATTTTTTTTTTTTTGAAAGGATGGTCATTTCAGGTTTCCTTTATTCAGAAAATTGTGAATGCTGACATTTTCTCTGTAAACTAACATGTCCATAAAAGACAAGGAACCTAAATGTACATTTTCAAGTATTGAGATATTACCCAGTAAAGCAAAGTTGTGGTCAATTAAATGCATCAATAATATATCACAAATATTGATATTATTGAATATTTACAAAAATCTGTATTTGTTCATCCAATCTGCTTAATATAAAGCTATATATATATAACTTGTTTCTTACATTATTTACTTTTAAAAATTAACACCACAAAATGATCATCTGAAAACAGGAACCAAAACCACAAAAGGATGCATGTTATTCCAGGATTCATTATTATTTATTTGTGCTATATGTCCTATTTACAGCTAGCTAGCTAGAGTCATTTGAGGACATGCCAGGTTTTGGTGGTGAAGTTGGAGGAAAACTAGGAGTATTCAAAGAAATAACCACCGACCTTCGGACAGTTCCTGCTCTGCGCTGTACCTGTGACTGGCCTATACATAGGCCTCAAACCTGCGACCCAGTGGAGAGGGCTAGTGATTGAAGATGGTCAGAAGCCTTAACCACTTGGCCATGGTAGCCTCAAACCAGTGACCTAGTGGTGGACGGCTAGTGATTGTAGACTGTCTGAAACCTTAACTTCTCGGTCACCACAACCTCGAACCTGCGACCCAGTGGAGATGGCTAGTGATCGTAGACGGTCAGACACCTTAACTACTTGGCCACCGAGCATCTAACGCCAGACCAAGTGGTGGAGGGCTAGTGATCATAGATGGTCAGACACCTTAACTACTTGGCCACCGAGCATCAAACGCCAGACCAAGTGGTGGAAGGCTAGTGATTGAAGACTGTCAGACGCCTTAACCTATCGACCACTGCTGCTTCATAACCCGTGACCCAGTGGTGGAGGGCTATACGTGTGATTGTAGACTGTCAGCCGCCTTAACCACTTGGCCACTGCGGTCTCAAAACCTGTGACCCAGTGGTGGAGGGCAAGTGATTGTAGATTGTCAGACGCCTTAACCACTCGGCCACTGCGGCCTTATAACCTGTGACCCAGTGGTGGAGGGCTAGTGATTGTAGACTGTCAGACGCCTTAACCACTCGGCCACTGCGGCCTTATAACCTGTGACCCAGTGGTGGAGGGCAAGTGATTGTAGACTGTCAGATGCCTTAACCACTTGGCCACTGCGGCCTTATAACCTGTGACCCAGTGGTGGAGGACTATACGTGACTGTAGACAGTCAGACACCTTAACCACTTGGCCACTGCGGCCTTATAACCCGTGACCCAGTGTTGGAGGACTAGTGATTGTAGTCAGTCAAACACTTCCATGATTCATTATATAATTAGTAATCATTAGAGAGAATATTTTGATACACTCAATCTTCAATATAACGCCCTTCATTTTATCTGCCACCTCACTTACCACTGAAAGGACCACATTTCCTTATTTCCGCAAAAATATCTCTTTATATCAGTGTATAGATATAGCTCACTAAACCTTTTTATAATGCAAACAGTTTGCTGGATAAACGGTGGCAAAATGTACTGTATATCGCGGGGGGAAAAAAATCCAGCAAATATTTGCCCTTCCATTATAAAATCCATTATGAAACTCGCTAAGTTATAATTTTCATTTTACTTTGTATTTACTGTGTACTAACATTTTCTGTCATGAGAAATTCACCCGCAAACCATAAATGACACTAACAGGATTTTATTGTTCACAAGTGCAAAACATTATTTAAAAATTATGACAGCATATCACAAACAATATACTGTGTTACTTTTTGAAGTATCAAAATATATATCCATGTACTTTGCTAATAATGGTAACCTTCCTAGAAAAATGTGTCGGTGACAACTTACGTCGTTCTCTTCTTCCTCCTCGTCAATTAAATAAGACTTGAAGGTCTGTATGGGGTTGTCATGGCAAGTGTGTGTCGGGAGCAAAGCACATCGGAAAGCAGGAAGTGAAAGTGGAAACACAGGCACATGATTAATTGTAAATAAGCCGTGTTACATACATATATATATCGACCATATTTTACCTGAGATAAGCCCGGATCAGGGAGGCTATAGCTAGTCCTCCGAAAGATCGAAACACGATCACTGGAGCTAGTCTGGAATTATAACGGGAGCACACCATGTATTTATATCTGAATCTCGCCTAAATTGGAGTATGGGGAAGGACCAGGACAGAGTCTGGTGATAGGGGTCAGAGCTGGGGGCTGGAAATTATAAGGGTCGCTCTAGGGTGTCTGAATGGGCTTTATAGGATCTGGTACAGGGTGTATGTTGGGAAGGTCTGGTGGGGTCATTTTGGATCGCGTGATGGAGGGGGTCTCATGGATTTGCGGGAAGGGATAGGTGGGTCTGGTAGGGGAGTAGTGTTTACTGTTGGGATGTCTGGTGAAGGGTTTAGTAGTTAAGGTATCTGGATCTGGTTTGGGAGGAGGGGGGGGGCTATAGTCCGATGGGTAGGTTTTCTTGAACTTCAGAGGGGTCGTGGTGGGGGCTGCAGGTGGGGGTGGTTGTCAGGTTGAGTGGGGGACTTAAATCTGTGAATGGTCTTATCGCCTGTAAAATATGGTACTGAAATATTTATGCTTTAAAACTTAATTTCACAACTTTTCCATCCCTTTACAGTAACTTTTACAATGTATACTGGAACTCAAGCTGAAAACTAAACACATTAGTTCATTATAGACAAAATTTGTTATAACCTTCGTGTTCATTTGAGACAACAATGTTAACATTATAAGCACGATTTGTATTAACTCTATCAATAGAAATTTAAGCTTGTTTAACTGCACAAGTATGTGAAAATGTGTAGACACATTTATCAGAAGCTTTAGTACAAAATCATCAGGCCTGCCATTCTTAAGGGTGTGCAAATGTAGGAGTGCACTAAAACAGAGCTTACAAAATGGATAAAAAATGTGCACATTTTTTAAAAATCCATTTTATTAGAATTTGAGCACAGATTAATCGATAATTTGTTGATATCTTAGGTATAAGTTCCAGTAAACTAAAAAGATCAACATATCTCATTGATTATAATGTTTAAATTGGTTTAATTTGATCAATAGAAATACTTTTGAAGAATGAAACATTTCTTTGATAATTTTACATAGTCTATCCCTCCCTATTTCAGATCCATTAACATAACCAATTATCAATAGAAAAAAATATAGAAAAAAAATACATCATTTGCTCATCTGGAAAATATAATTTTCAGTGTTTTTGCTAGCAAAAGAATACCAAAGTACAGAATTGCATTGGTTAATATTCAAGAAATCATATTTGCATATAATTAATATTCATAAAATCAAATTTGCATATGTTTAATATTCATACCTGGTAATAGCTTTGTTTACAATAATACTATTCTATTGAATTATATATATATCAAGTGGACACAAAATATTTCAATTACATTTGCACTTTCCTTATACACTGCATGTCCAATAAAGTGTGTTATCTAACACAGAACTGTTCCTATACATGTGACGTTCTGAGTGTAACAGGAAATGTTCTCTTGTAATCTATACACAAATGTACATATTATATTTATCTCAGGCCAAATCAGTTTTTTATTAGTTCCTCAGACTTATTATCTCTTAATTTTGATTTTTCTGGGGAAAAAATGAAATAAAACCAGTACTTTCTGCTTTGATATCAAAATCAGTTTTATTTTTAACAAAACATAGTGTTTAATTTTTCTGACTAAATACATTCAATTTTTTTTTTTTTATAAATACAAAATATTTTAATTACTTGCTTGATTTTTGGTTATAAACAACTATTGTAACAATTCATTATAAGATTTCAAGATGCATGCATGTATCCAACACGAAAAGTAGACAGTTAATTTCAGTACATTTCATAATACCTCATTACCATTCTTGCATTTTTTCATGAAAGTAGCTGTCGAAATATCTGTAATAGGAGGGTATGTATATTTGTACCACTACTGGCTACAAATGAAACCCCTGACTGTTAGACATTGAGACCAGCTCTGCTTTAAATTCACAAACATCTTTTGATTGATCCCTCAACGTTTACTCACTCCTGTACAACATCAATAGCAGCTTCAAGTTATTGCTGAAGCCAAATACTGAGCCGAGCGAAACTTAAGTCTCTCAGTAAAGTAGATGAAAATCTAAGTGAGTAAGCCTAAGTAGGGAGAATAAGGAGGGGAAGAAATTTGAAATCACACTTACTAGCTGCTGCGACAAAAATCTATAATCTACATAAGACATGACTCACTGCCATACAGAATCACAATTCTATCAGACTTTTCTTTTCTTTGGCAATACGATTTTCAATAAATATATGCAGTGCATTGACAAGGTGCTGAACAGTATATCACCTATTTTATAAGAAATACTATATCTTCAACACTGTGAATGTTTTTATCTTCTTTATATATATTTTACGCTGTTTTGGACTTTCCAACTGTGCACGTCTTAAAGTATTTTAAATGATCATGCGACAATCTTGAATAACAAACGGTATTCATCCCTTGGGTGTGGCCTGAGTTTGTTCATATCTGTTTTTAGGAGTAAGATATATTCTGATAACATATATTATTATTTATTAAAAAACGAATGTGTGTAATTCATGTAACTTTCCATTAACGGCTTGTGTATTATGATTCTGTACCTCAAAATTATCAACAAAAATAAGAGTGAAATCATAATTTCCTGTCATTTGAGGCTTAACTAAAAGCTGATGAATTATTACATAGATACATATATAGATATGTACATACCACTTTTCACATCTATTTATGTCTATGCACGGTGACTAAGCTTTATAATAATATGATATAATGTGAAGCACATATTTTTAGCTGCATCATTTTATATTATAGGGCCCCAAATCTTAAATGGTTTTGGCACGTTCCTTTACAAATAGAAGAAATGCCCAAATTTATAATCTAAAACAAAATAAATATATTGCTGCCACCAGAGACGTATAATACGTCTCTGCTTCCACTAAGAAACTTAACAGAATTAGTTCTGGCTTTTTAGTTCAGATATATATATCTACATACTACTTTTAGTAAAAAAAATATATTTGTAGTTCTGTATTTTATCTGACATTAAAAACTATAGTATGATGTGTGTTGCTACATATCCCACACCGAGAGATAAGAAATACAGATATTTAATACTGATACCACGTCTTTTCCGGTCTCAAGATAAAACCTACTTAGGCCTATGCAACCCATACTGTAAAAAGAGGGCGGGTCAGCGATGATATTCTCCATCTTATATAAAGATTTCTCCTACTTGTACATGTATTATTACAGTTCTAACGACAAAGTGTACCTCTTTTCCCCGCTCAACCTCATTCCCGGTGATGTACGAGACAAACCTAGACATCTTCAAACGAAGAAGGTGGTTTCTTCGCAATTCATCCTGGAAGTTGTCATTTTCTTTACTTCCTGTTGTCCTTATGAATCAGGGGACGCAACTCTGGAAATCTATGAAAACTGGTTGTCTCCCTTGCTGTCGTCTGCACACTGGGGTGGTATTTTTGTATTTTATTGTAATTGTATTTACCACACGATTGTCGAGTTTCTTACAGATAGTATTTTCTGGTACAGGGATTCACGTATTTAGCGGCATATATAACATCCTGAAGCGTTCTCGTGCGATCTGAGACAATTTTAATAAGTTTGTGGTAACGCTTAGCTTTGTAATTTGATCATTTTTATACATAAAATAAAAATCTTTGTACAAATTTTAGTTTGTCTTTTTTTTTTACTTGTAGCAATCATGTCTATTGGAAACATTGTAAAATTAAACCTGTTTGATTAATCGACTGTAGTGAGACGATTAGTTATTTATTAATTAATCAATTTATTGTATTCAGCAACGAACGTGGACCTTCGAACAAAGTAAATATCCAAAATAGTCGGAACCCTTTCCCCTTGTGATAACATACAAACTTTGCCACTTATTCTATTGAATGTAGTTTACAAAAATGACTTTTTTTCACCTTTTAACCTTCGTGAATTATCTCATTTTTGCATTGTGCTTCACAGCCCTGACCACGACTTTTTAAAATAATTTATTGGGCAAGAAAGAGAGAAACAGAACAGGGGTAGAGTGTGCAGGAAAATAGTTTCATTGATCAGATCCAATTCAATTAGCGAAATGTACATGTAACATGAATAGTACTATGTACCACGTATGCACTTTATATGACGTGATGAATGTGATTGGTCGTTTACTTCCTTATGCGACAGTTAAAGACTGTTACACGGATACTTCGCTATGACCCCCTTTTATAATCTCGAGCACGTCAAAACATAGCTACAAGAACTTCTAGATCTATCGCAACTATTTATTGTACGTACGTGTATACTATTTTATACTAGATGTTTGACACTGAAATACAAATATTCTGACATGAACTATATCAATAATTAAAAGGAATATTTAGATAAAGTCTGCAATTATTACAAAATATATATGCGTTTTATCTGGAAGGCAAACATAAATCGAATGTTCAGAAAACTAGACTAACTAGCCAGTTTAGCTTTATTTTTGTATTTGGTTGATTGATTGATAGGTTTTACGTCCGCTTCACTACCGAGTAGTTCGGTTATCCAGCAGACGACGCAGATATAACCTAGTAAACTCGCTTGCTATTTCTAATGAGCAAATCATCGCAGCTTTATGCTTCTAACTTACAACAAAAGAATACGGAAGGGCGTGAAAATTCAAATTTATTTACTTATGTCAGTCTTTTATATCCAGTGTAATTATATTCTAAACTCGGTTACTTCTCTAACCCAATCTTTGTCTTCTGTCTCTCATGCCGGTTAACATAATGTGTATTATTAGATATAACTATTAACATCTTATTTTTAATATAAAAATGCATATATGTATGGGAAAGCCTATATTCTTCCATTTTTCAGAGATTGTGCTTTTTTACTTGTTCGCTTTAGTATTTGTGAGTAATTGTTATCGTCAGCAAATATAAAAAAAAAAACTTTTTATAGAGTGCCTTCGTTTTACTTGGTAAGTGTCATCTGTCTTAAAATAATTCTAAACAGGGACGTATAGTGAAGATATACTGTCCCTGTTCTAAACGATATCTTTTAAAATTAAATAAACATGTGATTTATTCATTTCGGCTCTGTTGCTATGTATGTTGATGACAAATGACGTCACGTGACATTCTGAAAAGTAAATTTTGCTTCAAAATATTTAATTGGTATCATAGGCGCATTTCTATCATGGACACAGAAATATAAAGTCAGTAGTTGAAATACGTCTCTAATGGAAAGTAGCTATATCGGTGATATTTAGATGTCTTCAAACATTCTAATTAAGTAGTTTGAAAATTAATATTTTTTTCAAAATTCTAGGGATTAATTTATTTTTGCTATAAAGAAAAATATTTTAGATATACATTTTGTACTTCGAAACCGATTAAAGTGTTCATCATTTTGTTTTTATCATAGACATATATTTAACATTTTATTGTTATTATATACATATCTTTATTGATTTATTCATAATGGTATTTTTTTTCCACGAGCCAAAATATTTTACAAAAGAATTTTTTCCATATATGTACAGCTTCCTAAGAAAGAAATTAATAATAAATTCAATAGATCTATAGAAATGACAATTTTCCAAAATATATACCTATTACATAACTCTTTGTGCACGCTCATGTGTATCGCCTACACATACATTGTACGTGTGTAAAACCAAGAGATTGTGCCCCGGAAGGACATAACGAAATCAGAACGCTTTAAACTACAAACAAGTGAAATTTTTGAACATGACTTGTTGCAATATACTGCATTTTATCAGATATAAGGAAGATCAGATCACAAAAATCAATTAAATTGCGTATTTTGGTAAATTCTTTTCATTTGCTTTGTTACGCACGCCCCGTGCAGCAGCTGGTCCACCGTTATTTACCGGCCCTTATTTACGAGCTATGCAATCTGGCTCTTTGTTTATAAAAAATACCCGCTCAGTCCCCGTAACAGTTTTGAACTAAAATTGCAAGCGTAATTGGGAAAGATGAACTTTAGATATTATTTTGTATTTATGAGTTTTATATGCAATACTAAGCCGTTATTCTTTTATCTTAGATGTGTATACGTAAACAGAGCCATCTGAGAAAAAGTAGGTCACCTTGGCGAGACTCGCACCCCTGCGATATGTTTTAACGAATATTTCGCAAACTTGAGTCTATATCCATCAAACTTTTACACATATTTTTTCCAAATCATGTCAAGATATGTTTTGCAATTCGAGTTTTGCTTTTCACTCACGCAATAGTCTTAAATATTCAGTCAGAGGAATTACATGTAAATCGGTTTGACATAAAAATGGCGTATTTTTAGCTCAAGTCGTTAGACAGTAGCGGGACATTTTCTTTAATATTCCAAATTAACACAATTTTTGCAATATTAGAATATAGCAATCGATGTAAGAATATTCTTCCAATTAACACATGTGTCAACAATAGTCCTTCAATGATTCAATTAATTTACATTTAATTTAGTAAAGTATACCCCTTACAAAAGCACTAGCCCGATCTAAACGTCTTGTTGTGTTTGGGTCCCTCTGGAAACGGTCAGTTTTCTCGACTCGGAGACCAATTTGACAGAAGACAGCCGACACGTTGCCTTATGAGGTACTGATTGCATGATTAATAATTAAATCAAAATTGTAAATCGATGTTTTCCAATAAAATTTACTAAAATATTGCAAATAACACCAGAGCGTCACGGGGCGATGCTGAAATAAATTGCCGATATTATTGTTAATTTTCTACGGAGCAAAAGAAATTATGAACAAAATTAAAGATTAGTTTCTATACCGTCTATCTCGTCCAATGACAATCTATTAAATAACCACGTTTTGTCAAAAACTTGCCGAAAAAGCAACATAGAAACACAATAGTTTGACAGCGAAATCGAAATACACAACGAGCACCGGATTCCTTGGGGTGTCTTCCACGAGGTACGAGCAAAACTTATAATCCACAAGACATGCAGATTTGTAGTTTCACTTCGCCAAGCGCAATACACAATTACACACGCACAGAACAACCATGTCTGACTCTGAAGAAGTAACCACCCCAGCGGCTGAGGATGCACCCGCCCCTGCCGCGGCACCAGCGGAACCCGCAGCTGCAAAAAAGAAGAAACCTTCAAAATCCAAGCCAAAGAAACCATCAACCCATCCAAAATTTAGGGATATGGCTGTTGAGGCCATTGGAGCCCTAAAGGAAAGAAGTGGATCTTCGAGACAAGCTATATTAAAACACATCAGAGCAAACTACAGTGTTGACCAAGCATCGGACAACAATCATTTAAAAATGACATTAAAAGCATGCGTGAAGAACGGTACTTTAAAACAATGCAAAGGCACTGGGGCATCCGGATCATTTAAACTTGGAGACAAGGGAAAAGAGAAGCCAGCAAAGAAAACAAAGAAACCCGCAGCAGCAGCAGCTACAACTAAAAAGGCAAAAGTAGACAAAAAGAAAGTTTCAAAGCCAAAGAAAAGTAAAGCTAAGACAGAAAAGAAAGCTAAGGCTTCACCAAAGAAAAAGGCAGCCGCCAAACCTAAGAAGGCAAAATCTCCCAAGAAGGCTGCTGCAAAGTCAAAGGCAAAGAAAGGAAAGGCCGCAAAGAAGTAATGTGTCGGAAAAATGTTTTTAAAAATGTGTGTCGACAGAACCTGATATCCTGAGTATTTATACCAGATTCAAGTTTTTCGAAAAAGACATTTTGAAAATACTCGACATTGTTCTGAAGAATATTTATTGTGAATAAATATTGGACGGTTACAGTTCCAAGGACAAAGACTGCATTCTAGATTTGCATCATATTAGTGACATGATGGACTGTTGGGACATGTTTTGAAGATTTGTAAAAACTGGAAATCTCAGATGTGGTAACGAGTATAAATATATAATTAGCGAGAATGTTGTATGCAATTTGTTTTCAATGATAGCAAATCATTGGCAAATCATGGGGGTGCTTTGGGACAGAAACTTCTGGGAGCAGTCTCGGGTTCGCCACTGTTTTGATCTGTGTTTTTCATTTGTGACAAAATGTAAACTTGTATGCTTAATGAAAAAATGCCTTTTACAGCATTCAAACCGAGCATAGAAATTTGTTGTTTAATGAGTAAATTATGAAAATGGCTCAAAATAATGTAAAGGTCCTGTAATTGTCAGAGTGAGGATTTTTTATTTCATTTCTTGACATGTCGTCTTAGTCATAAAACAACAAATACCTATGTTGGGCCTGCTCATAGGTTTCTAGTATAAAATTAAATATAGACTGAGCATTAATGTAATTTGTTGTTGGTAAACATTATCATATATTATTTTCATTAATTGCAATTGTGTAAAATTGATGGCAAAGCATCAATATCATCATCAGTATTCCATTTGCTTTTTAATTTCATGTTCATTTTTATCCAAGTTTTCATTTGTTTAAAAAACAAACTTTTTGTTATCAAATATCTATTTGAATGTCTCATTAAATTATTTAAATATATCCATCTTGTGATTTTTCTTTTGTTTTACAGTTTCCTTTGTGTTAACTTTATTAATGAAGGTGCCATATCTTGTTGCTGACAAAACCAATTTGGCACAGATTGTATAATTAGATTTCGCATTAGTAAGGTTTACAGTTATTGTCAGATGTGATTCTAGTGTAGTCAATGTAATTTTATTGCAACAAAGAATTGTTGTTAAATCGTGCATCTCTGTATTTTTGACAATGGACTACAATATCCTCTAATATGGAAAAATCCAAATGCATCATTATATTTATTAGCTGTTAATGGGTTTAAAGAATGGTAAGAGTAAAACTTGGTTTAAAAAATAACAAGAAGACACCATCATCATTATCCCGAGTTCCGCAGATAAGTCCTGATGCGATGCCTAGTTTGAATAAAGCACTATGCACTCTTGACAATCGAGGATGCCATAGAACACACTATCAGTCAATTTCAGTATTCACAGCATGTGTTCAGTGAATGATGCAAGTATATACTCCATATAGTATTTATGGATTAAACAATGAATTTTAAACAAATTAATGACTAAAAACCATTCATCTTATAGAAGTTACTTAGCACTAAATTGTAGACCAAATTCAGCATCCCCAACTTGTATTCAGTAGAGCAACCCTACATGTAGCTACATCATTATCGGGAGTATTATTCATTATGGTTAAAATAATTCTTCGCCATCTGCACCATTGGATGGTCCCTGTTTCCACATCCCTGCAAACTTCCTGACGAAGTATGTATGGGAGGTACAGAAGGGGCACTATCCCTGCAAACTTCCTGACGAGTATGTATGGGAGGTACATAAGGGGCACTATCCCTGCAAACTTCCTGACGAGTATGTATGGGAGGTACAGAAGGGGCACTATCCCTGCAAACTTCCCGACGAGTATGTATGGGAGGTGCAGAAGGGGCACACATAGATATATGATATCTGTCTCCCCCACGTGATCTGGTTTGACCTTTTGACAGACAACCACCAAACTCAACAGAATCTAGACCTTAACGCTGTCCTACTATGATGTAAATATAATCTGTTGTGGCATGGGACTTCATGAGATATCTCATACACCAGCTTTTCACTTCAAAAGTTTGACCTATGACCACAAACTCTCATAAAGTGTAGATCTTGTGGAACCATTCTACGGTGTGAATGTTATCTAAATTTGTTAGGGGTTCAAGACGTATCTTTTACACACACTTTTCTGGACCGACCTACTGACAAAACAATTGTCATATTAAATGCACCTTCCTTCAACTGGAGGTTGACAAAACCTTAATGACATCAATGAATTTGATAACAAAAGGAGGGCTCTGGGACCCCATTTGAATGGCACAGCGCTAAGTCATTCTATATGATTCTGTATTCACAACAATGTATTTTTTAAGATTTGAATTTGCGAATTGAAAGAGAACACTTCTATGTTGCTTCTACCTATGTCTTGACATCGTCGTAATCTACTTTCCTTGCAATGGGCAAAACAAAATAACACAAGCTTTTACAGTATAATGAGAAAATTAATTGAAACCAAACAAACAATGTGTCCTAAGTGTCATCAATCTGCAGCATTATCATATAGCGGGTCTTCATAGAAATAATTCTTAATACGTTCTTATTTACAAAAGCAGCTGCAGTGATCGAGTTATTTTTTTAAAATCAAAACGTTTGTAAATTTACATTATAAGCTAACAAGGCTTTTTCATACTAGTTAACCAATGCCTGGTTTCATATTACCAAGTTATTAGCTACTCCATGCTTAGTTAGCTTTCCGATATCTCTAGACGGATGCTCCAACCAATTGAGCAACCTGGTTACCAGTGATCAACCGAGTCCAGTTTTCCTTACATATATTCCTCTTTTCACAAAGCCGTCGACCTCTAAGACACATAAGACACTATAGCACCTTTCATAGGTATATTTTGTTTGGTGCCAAATGTGTTTGAAAGGAGAGTTAAAATGCATAGCTAGTCCAGGATTTGAACCCAGAATCTCTGAACACCAGACAACAGCGTTGCATGCTTTGAAATTTGGTCATTGACAGGCATATGAAAATAATGTTCAATTGCTGCAGCTGCTAGTGTAAAGAATACAAGAGATGAATAACACAAAGGCTTGACAATTATTTCAATTCAACTTTAAGATTTGCTAAGCTAACAATGCAGGTTTATTTTTGCACAACTGAACTTGGATCCAGCATCAGTTTTATCAAGTGGCAAAGAAAAAGAGTTTTCAATTTCCATTTTTATTCAAAATATAACTGTAGTTTTGATATTGATAAAAACGATTTATTACACAAATGTCATTTGACTTCACATGTATTGATCTCAAACATAAATCTAGTTATCCTGCTTTAACAGTTATATACATACACCAACAGAATATACAACAAAAAAAGTCTACAGACCTTACTGCTCATCTGTGTAAATTACCTGAGTAGAAATTTTAGAAGTTGGAAAAAATAATTAAGATAACTTTGGTCCGAAGCCCCTTTATAACACAATGCACTCCTTTTTGTAAATTTTGTTTATTTTTTTTGTCTAGTAGTTATGTAAACAAAAACAAAAAAAGAAGCACATGGATGGTCTTCATAACACTCTTAAGTGACGGACGGACAACAGACATCGCACCATACACGTATCTGAAAGGCACTTTGTGCCAGATGAGTTAAAAAATGGAATACAATTCTAATCACAGCCATCACTTTGATTGTTGCCTAGTAATATTATGTTCTAAGTAAGACTGTCTGTAACGAATGAGCAGGGTAGTACAAGTTCATAAATTCCCGGCCGGTGCTCGTCAGAGAAACTGTTCCACTCAACTCAGACCTACAAATAAGAACAAATATTACTGGTTCCTGTATTTGGTTTAATAATGATAGCAAAGAGTATTCTGGTATGTTATGGTTTTTGTTGAAGGATTTACAAACCTTGTTTTACACTTGAGATTTGGTTTAGCTCATTCACCCAAGACACAGTTGAACTCTTCCAATTCAAAGGTTGGAAGAGTTCATTATGAAATTTCAGGAGTGAATGAGTTAAGGTAAAGCATACCACTGTTTTAACTGTAAAGAAGAGTTCGACTCGTTTTTTTTTACTTGGAGTAATCTCCCCTCTATATAGAAGATGAAGCAACCAAATTGAGTTTTTTCTGGATAAGAGTTACTTCCCCTGTCAATTGTTTCATATGCTTAGTGGCCCACAAATTGGACCCTTATTTAGATGTTGTGTAAGTATAATTCCTGTATGGCCACATTGGTAGAGGTGTAGACTTTGTAACATACAGTCTCGAGTTTGACCCCTGCAGTTTCTCTTGTTTTGTTCCATTTATTTTTCTTTCATTTCTATTTTCAAACATTCTAATTTGAATCAAATACAATTCTGTCAAATGTATGGCAACAAGTGACTTTTACAAAATACTTTTGAAAAAGTTTTTAACGAATATTTCACAATAGTGAGAGTGAGAAAAATAAACAGAACAACCCTAACCACTAATACTTGATCACAGCCGTGACTGAGAAACCATATATTTTTTTTACAAATTTAAGTTCATAATGGCCATGAAGAAGCCAAAAAGTTTCAGAAAACATACTTGCCAACTCTCCCTATTTAGGCAGGAGACTCCCAATTTTGGACACCTAAATTTAGTATTTTCAACAAGTGAATTTGCTAAATGATTCCTATATTCCAAGATCTAATGATTTCATCTGACAGAACAACTCAAGATATGTCATTATAAAGGGTTATTTTTTCCTGTAGGGGCTATATACATACATTTTATTCATGTTTTTATTTTGAGCATGCATAATCTCCCCCATGGATATTTCTAAATGTTGGCAAGTATGAGAAAGACTATCATGCATTTTGAACTGATCTGATTCCTAGCAACACTGTAAATCTTATTCATCAATTTGGAATTTGTCACAGAAATGGTTGACCGGTTGACAGACCAACAGACACAGTGCAATGGTATGAAGTATTTGGCCCTTTGCACCAGGGGAGCTAAGGATGGTAGACCTCCTTGGAAACTATCAATTCTATTGTGATGCCATGATCATGGCAAGCTAAATATTCCATTACGGTTTTCACTTACTTGTTTAATAGGATGAAGACCAATAAGGAGTCGGGTCTTTTAAAGGCAACCATGAAAATCTCCTTGTCAGAAATGCTACCCTGTATCTCTATTCTCTGTGAGCCAGGGACAAGAAATTTACTGTAAAAGAAAACATTAAGATTATCTCATGCAAGTATAGCAAAACAAGTTCTAGTTTAGGTGGTGTTATATTTGTAATAGTTACTTTTAAAGACAGAAACATTAGGCCAATCACTCTGAATAGTTCACCTCGTTCTAACTTATCTCTTTTACTTATTATTTTCATGAAAAAAATATTTCATAGTTTCTGTATTTCATACCTACATGAATATCATAGTTTCTGTGTTTACTTAAGTCTTACTTGTTTAAGATAAGTGTTTAAATGACATTTACAAATAGAAGAAAGTGTTTGTGTTTGTGTAACTGTGTCAAGGTGGAGAAACACAAAATGGACCCAGTCCTTCTGGTGACTGATATTGTTGATTAGAGTTCATTTAAGTTAATGGGGTTTTTCTTCGTCAGATAACAAAACATTTTGACAACCTATATACCTACCCAAACCTAAAATCCTTGACTGGGTTACATCAAACAGAACCGTTTTATTTGATCTTATGCATTTTGTATTGACATATTATGAGGTCACATAGTTGATTTCAGTACCTGAAGTGTCCCAGGGCATAGAACATGGGTTGTTTGTAGAATTCATCCTTTTCAGCGTTCACAATAATCGGACTGTCCACGAAGTTTTTGACCCAGTTTGGACCACCTTCCATGTTTAGAGCAATATTCCAGTCCGTCCACCCCGTCACCCAGTTATTCAAATCCTGAAATCAAATTTTGAAAAAAAAAAAAAAAAAGCATTTACCAGGTAAAAAAACTGACATGTAGATACAGAATGGTTACTCAATGGGTGTCATGATAATAGAAGTTTGATTTCACCACAGATAATCAAACTATTCCAATAATAAAATCTAAAATCATTTTACATGTACATGTATTATATTATTCAATTATAGCCTTTGGCTGAGGTCGATACCTGGATTTATCGACCTGAGTAAAGATATATTAACTGAGGACGCAGTCCGAGGTCAATATATCTTTTCTCGGGTCGATAAATCCAGGTATTGACCGAAGTTAAAGGCTACAATTGTTTTATTATTTTCAAAACAGTAATGTTAGCAATCTGAAAAAATAACATAGCAAAAAGCTGAGGAAGCAGGACGATGCGTTCGTTTGGGGAAACGTCATAATTCTATTTTTTGGAACACCCAGTCCTTCAACAAAAATCACGCGCTCCAAGTCAATATCGGTTTTTATCGGTGGACACGTGATTCACTTCTGGCCAATCACTTGACGGGAAGAATATGAACAAATAATAAAATAATACAATATAAATAATGCTGGACGCAGGCAAAAGCCTATATTTCCAGATCATATGTATCATGTTTATGATTATAAAAACATTCTGGTTGTCCCCAGTGCCTATCTAGCCGGGCTTCAAACGGTTTTCATTGTTGGTGATGTGACGACGTGATTTGGCAGGGAATTCCAATGGTTGACCACTCTTTCTTTAAAGGAGTACTTTCTTAAGTTCAATTTAGACATTCCTTTTTCAATTCAAAGATTATGGCCTCTTGTTGGTTTGCTATCATTTATATTTTAAAGTTGGTAATTTTAGAATCCATAATCTGTCTTGATAACTAAGGTCTTTCATTCCTATTATCTGTTTAACTGTAAATCATTTTACAATTAAAAACATAGGGAAATATTTATTCATTTATTACAGTTTCAGAGAACCATTCTTTCAGGATTGGTAACCTCAACTTTGGTTTGACAGCTTGACAAAGAGACACTGACCTCTATGATGTCATGTGCGTAGGTTTCCCCTCGGAACCAACTTCCAAGCTGGACATGGCGACCATCCCAAGGCATAGAACCAAGGCATGCCTCAGTAGCCAGGATGAATTTGTCTGGAAATTTTTCATGGGTAGAAGTCAAGGCGTTGGAGGGAACAATGAAGTCCTGGTACCAATGTACAGCTATTCCAGACACAAACTTGGCTGCATCTGTATTCTTGAACACCTGATAATGTAATTCTGACATTACTTACATACTGGAATTGATTTTAGAAGGTGACTTTGGTTTTTCATTTTTACTGCTGAATAAAATTGTAAAACAAAAGAAAATATACAATGGCCAGACAGAGATTCAAACATATTACCTACGAACTCAAGACAAACACTAACTAATTGAGCTACCTGGTTGCTGACAATTGACCCAGTCCAGCTCCGCTATATTCCTTCCTTCTTAAACAAAGTCTTTGACCCTGAAGAAACACAAAACTCAATACCACTTTTTTAGGGTATATAGAGGATCTTACATGTGTGTCCATGTCATATTGAATTTACTAAACGAGTTCAATAATTTGATATGACATGACATAAAGGCTTGTGTCATATCAAATTATTGAACTCCTTTTAATGAATTAAATATGACAGGGACACGAATGTAAGATTCTAATTATCACATAACATTTATAATTCAAAAAAAAGTATAAAAAAAAACACAATTATATGTTATCAGCTGACTCTATATGGTAAAAACCAAAGTACTCTGATCATTGTATTGTCCTTCCACTCAGTGCAAAGTAGTTCAACATCCCCCCCCCCCCCCCCAAAAAAAAAATATAAACATATTATGACATATTAAAATGGGCCAATTATGTGATAAATTCAGTAAAGCACCAATTGTAAAAAGAGAGAAAAAATGCAACGGCCAAACAGACGTTCTAACTCATTGAACTACCTGGTCACAGGCAACCAATTCAGTCCAGTATCACTACATAACATAAACTGAACTGAGCAGAAAGTACTTAGTGTGGGAAACTGCACTATTGAGGTTAACTAGACAGGTACAAACCTCTTCTGCCCATAGAGGTAAAAACAGTCTGGTGTCATCCATAATCATTATCTTCACATGACCAAACCCTGACTGTTCCAATGCTGGGCCGAGGTCCATAGCTATGAAGTCTCTCTGAGTTTCGGGAGACCAGCCCATTGCCTGGAATTTGAAATCAAAGATGTTCCCATCGGACGGTTCGTTTTGTCCCGTTAGTCCCCATATGTCCACTCCATGCTTTTTATACTCCTGTAGGAACCTTTAAGGGCAGAGAAAGTATGTACGTAATGTATAAGGTTCCCTTCTATGTGTCAATGGTTTATATCCAAAGTTAATCATTCTACTTCCAAGCTTTTGGGCTTAGCCCTTCATCAGAAAATGGCTCGCACATCGATGTCAAGTCAGAAAAAAAAAGTTTTCATAATTCTTCCTAGCTAAATTTTACACTAGCCTGTTTCTACCTGAATCTGAATAATATTGCATTTTTTTTATTGAAATTGGGAAGATGTTCCTCATTTCTTCTTCATTTCGGGAAAATAAAGCACATTTTTATATTAAAAATAAAATTGATAAGGAAACAAAAATGAAAATGTAGTCTAATGATGACAAATTCCTTATATATCACTAGAAAATATAACAATCTAGGCAAGTGATACAATCATGATCTCAGAATTTAAAACTTAAACGTACTTGACAAAATATGACGCCCATGCTTTATAGTACTTTCCACCTGGTTGACCGATAAGCGAGCCTCGGCCGGTCATTTTATTGTTGGTCTTCATCCAGGCAGGGGCACTCCATGGACTTCCAAATAAGGTAATGTTTCTTTTACACAACCGCTGGGCTGCTTGAATTATTGGTATCTACAGAGACAAGACAGATATAAATTAATATGTTCAGAACGTTCTTTCAAAAATACTAATATAACATATAACACATGTATACTTATAATAAACAGATTATTATAAATTAATATAACATCATTTCTAATCTATATACATTTCACATGAAACATCAATTGTGTCCTTGACATTCACACCATTTTAAGTGGAGCCAACTGAACTTCAGATTAAATCCAATGTAGCCAAATGACCTTGACCTCCAGATATAATTAGCAATATTCATCTCATCTTGCCCTTCTGATGTTATAAGCAGCTGCTGAACCAAACTGACCTTGAAATTCATATACATGTATATTCAAGTGCATTTCATTGACCTTTGACCTTCATATCTAATCTGGGGCAGTATAATAAACTGACCTTGAGCTTCAGATCTTCGGTTGTAAGTGAAAATTTCGTCAAATTGAGGTCACCAGGTACATCATCATAAGAGTAAAGTCTTGTGGAAAAGTCACAGCTGGCCATAGGGATACGTCCTAGGTTGTACTCTATACCTGGTGACGAGAATAGCTGAAGATATCAGTACTGATGATTACAACAACTGGATTGACTAATGATACACAATAGGAGTTAAATAAAAATATGGATTACTATAAAAACTTGCACAATTTGTGCAAATAAATTGCATACAAATAGCCAGATGAAATAGCTAAAATAAATATGATCTATTGGGAAAATCATGATCGATAATCACATCAATCATTTGTAATAAGATATAAACACAAGATGCCCAGAGGGCCTGTATCGCTCACCTGGATATCTAAGCAATCATGGCAAAATATTCTCCAAATGAGATCCAAGGGAATATGCCAGACCCCAAGGCCAATCCTTGTAGCATATCTGTATAAGATTGTTCATGCCCAGCAATTTTATGTATGGTTATGGGGTGGGAATCTCAACTGTTTCCAAACTGTGACTCAGAAACTAGGTCCCTAGGGTTGTGGCTAGACCCCAGGATCAATTCTAATATCATAACTGAATTCGTCACTTTCTACCAAAAATTTGTATTTCTAGTTTTCGGGTGGGGATCTCAACCGTTTCAAAGTTATGACGCAGGGGTTAAGTCTGCATGGGTGAGGCAGACCCTGGGGTCAATTCTAATATCATGACTGCATTCGTCTCTTTATGGCCAGCATTTGTATATATAGGTCTGGGGGTGGGGATCTTAACCATTTCGAGGTTATGACCCAGGGGTTAAGTCTCCAAGGGTGGGGCAGACCCCAAGGCCATCTGGAAGCATATGTGCATTCATCTCTTTATACTCAGCAATTGTATATATGGTTATAGGGTGGGGATCTCAACTGTTTCCAAGCTGTGACTAAGAAACTAGGTCCCTAGGGGTTCGGTCAGAACCCCCAAGGTCTATTCTAATATCATGACTGCATTTGCTCTTTATGCCCAGCATTTGTATTTACCCAGGGACTATGTCTCCAAGGGTGGGGCCAGACCCTAGAGCCATCCTGGAAGCAAATTTGCATTCTTCTCTTTATACTCAGCAATTGTATATATGGTTATATGGTAGGGATCTCAACCATTTCCAAGAAATAAACTTTTTTTGGCCTCACCCCTAAGCCCAGGGGTCCAGCCCCACCGTTTGTACAATTTTGAATCCCTGCCTTCCATGAATGCTTCAAACAAAATATGATTGATATCCAGTGCATAGTTCTACAGAAGTCGTTTATAGCAATATTGCTAAATTGCCCCCACCAATTGAACAATTTTGAATCCCCACTACCAAGGGATGCTTCCAGTAAAATCTTTTAGTTCCAGGAAAGAAGTTGTTTAAAGCAATATAGCCAAATAACCCTTTTTGGCCCCGCCTCTCAGCCCCCTGGGGGGTCGGCCCCACCATTTGTACAATTTTGAATCCCCGCCTCCCATGAATGCTTCTGACTAAATATGATCGATATCCAGTGCACAGTTCTACAGAAGAAGTTGTTTATAGCAATATAGCCAAATTGCCCCCTTTTGGCCCCGCCCCTCAGCCCCCTGGGGGGTCGGCCCCACCATTTGTACAATTTTGAATCCCCACCACCTAGGGATGCTTCCAGTCAAATTTAGTAAAATTCCAATGAGTGGCTAAGAAGAAGAAGTCGTTTGAAGAAATTGTTGACGTACGGACGCCAGACAGACGGATGACAGGCGACGGACGCCACGGTACGGCATAAGCTCACCCGGTGAGCTAATAATTATTATACACAACTATTTTACACTCAAACCCAATGTTGTTTCAAGTTTTAACCATTATGGTTAATTCTGGCTGGACTCCGATATTGATCTTTGTTGCTAAGAAACCATCTAATTAAATACACAAACTGGGTCTTGTATTTTTTGAAATGTTTCTGCAGACTTGTATTTGATGTCTGTACAATAAGCTTACCACCTTTTATTGACCCTTATCATTACTTGATGTTATTTCAAAACAGCAATCCCTTTATTTTGGATCTTTCGTTTGTCAATTTTTTGTTGTTCAGTATTTTTAAATACAAATTTACCTATCAAAATAAATGTAAATGCAAGGTTTAAATCTTAAGCCTGCAGAATTTACCAACTGTTGGCCCAACACAGTGTCATTTTGGTCACCAAGATATCTTACCTTGTGGTGAGAAATAGGACTTCAGCAGGTTATCCTGTGTGGGTGAGGTCAGGTTGAGAATATTGATCGCGGCAGCATCAGTGAACGCTCCTCCAAACCCAAGTATTTCCTGATAAGTCACATTGCTGTTTAATTTCAGTACCACTAAAAAAAAAACATATCATGTGAGCTGTCGACAGACTTTCATTTCAATAAAAAAAACTTCTTCAACAAACAAGGAATTTTCAGAAAGAAAGAAACAAGATCTTTTACAATTTATTTCTTCCTTGAAAGTTGTCATCTATTAAACAGAATTTCCATATTATTGCAATAAGGAATAATTATATATAGTAAGAAGTTATACTTTTTGTAAATACACTGTTTATTGTACTGTAGCTGTTATTTGAAAAACGTCCGACAGATGCATTTCTGTATTATTACCAACACTAAAACAAGTAATTTTGAGTGAGTAATACCCTTTGATGAAGGTTTTGATGAAAGATTTCCAAATGTCTGATCAAGTCTCTGTCCATCTATCGATGATGTGTAGAGTTTATAAACACCAGGAGAAGGAGGGGTGATGGGGTCAAGTGTGTCACAATAGGTCGAGTTACAAACACACGCAAAGTTGTCTTCACCAAAGTCCTTCAGGGCACATGGGGCACTAGCTGTAAATAGAAATAAACTGAAAGTGATATTGAAAAAAAATGGGTTGCACAATTGTTATCTGTTCTAGTCAACCAAATTAACTTACTAATCCACTAAATTGGTGATGACGAATTCTATCCCTGATCTGCCCACTGACATGATAAATATGAAAAAGTTGTTTAAACTCTAATCCAAGTTTCCTCTAGCCTGGACACCAGACGTGTACGTTAGACATTTTGACAGATAGATGTCTGCTGTATATCTCTGTAGTAGGACGAGGAATAGTGTTAAAGATAGTGCCATCGCTGGGCTCGAATCTGTGACCCTTCGCTCTCCAGCCTGATGTTCTACTGCTGAACTAAAGGGAAATTCCCTTCAGCTGACGCTTGTAAGGCAACCTAATAAATGCACATCTTTTACACTATTCCCTCCCCCCTTTTTTCAAACACCAACCCAGGTTCTTTGACTCCCCACCAAGGGTTCTCCTACCTTGAACAGGTAGGTTCAACGAAACCGTTTTTTTGTAGGATGAGGAATAGTGATAAAGATAGTGCCATCGCTGGGGCTCGAACCTGTGACCCTTCGCTCTCCATCCCAATGCTCTATCGCTGAACTAAAGGTAAATTCCCTTCAGCTGACGCTTGTAATGCAACCTTCATCTTTACACCTCTAACTGTAAAAACTTCTAAACTCCGGCTTTTCTAACTTCAACCTATTTGTTTTTTGTTTATATTTTATGATGTTATTTCTTTATCATAAAAAATAGCCTAGTGGATATACTTAACTTATTTGACATTAACTCAAGACAATGATCCGATCTAAATTTGTTTCCTTCCTGGAGAAGATTATTTTGTGTTTTACCACGGACTATGTAGGCATATCAGCTAAAAATAAAATTGTAGATTCCACCAATAAAAATTCCGTGGTTTTACTCACTTACAAAGTTGTCTCCCTTCACATTTGATATCAACTTTTTAATTTTGTGATCAATGCATTGAGCAAACTTGAATTTTGAAATTCTGTTGACTTAGAATAGTTTAAGTAAGATAATAAAGACGAAAATTACTGATTTGGCAGTTATAAATACTGGTGATGAAAACAGCCGACAAACCGACCTAACATTTTTAGTGTGTAATTGTGGTGATTTAGTGGACTCGTTTCAGTGCACACAGCATTTAAAGCTACTTTCCTTACTCAATAATACATGTTAAACTAACCGGCTGAATAACTCTGCAAAAAACACACAAGTACGGTGGAAAATATGACTCGCCCCATCTCCTTCATCACTCAACTTCCTAGATCACGTGCATTTGTTTTTACCGGATGTGGAAAAGAAATAGATTGGTAAAACTAAATAAAGTTAGGAGGTACTCATAACGCCAAAGTGCGACTAGTCGACGACATTCATACTTATTCTTATTTTGCTATCAGATATTACTCTTCCTACAAAACATTATTTGGTATTGTTGTCTCTTATATTTTACTACAGATAACTAATATATAAATGATAAGTTTTATGAAATAATCGTTATGATTTTTTTTCTACGTTATGCAGAACAAATGTTCAAAACGATATATTTGTGAAAAATTCTGCCAATTTCATATTCATAGAATGTTTGTTTTAAAGCCTACTGTACCATTGTAAAAGTGTTATAATTTGCGTTCGTACTTTGTAGAATTTAAGGTTTTGTAGATATCATGATGTCGTCTGCAAAGAGCCGAAGTGTGATGTATTTGATATAAGGAAGAAAATATAGGCCGTAGAACAGTTCACTGCTGAATACCTGTTGCCACTGTGACTGTTTCGGACTGTTCACAGTAAAGAAGGTATCAGATATCCACTGGGGACGGTGTTTTGTTAATTCTATAAGAAATAAAAATAAGTTAATCGAAAGTTTAAAAAAAAAATCAAAAGTTATAACGCCGTCCTGTTGTCATGTTATTGGAGGCGCTAAAATAAGATTTTTACATCATGAAGTGATTTTTGATAAGAACTACTTGATAAGAAATGCTTAAGTATCAATGTTTCATTGAAATAACCCGGTAAGTATCCGACTTATCACTTCTCTACAGTACTTTGCCAGTTTTTTGAAATCGGTCTGGTCCAGCAGTTTTTTCCGGATTTATGATATGTAAGAGTTTTCTGAGATACATTTGAAATTCATTCTAGGATAAGGACTGACCTTAGGAATTGGAACTTTTATCTTTAGTGGTAAAGACTCTCGGCAATTGATTATGAAGAATATTTGCTATTATAGGGGGGGGGGTTCGAAAAGTTGTCCATTTGCTACGAATCAAGCGCATACAATTCTATTTTTCACTTATTGTACAGATTTTCATTTTTTTGTTTGTTTGTCAAACTTTCTTTTATCCAGGGTGAGCTCTTGCTTACTGCTTTGTAAACTTTTTGGGGCATTATCTTACTGTTTTTGATTCATTGTTTTTGATGCTTTTGTTTTGTTTTGTTTCTTGGGATTTTAATATATTTACACTTTCGGGACTAATAGCATTTTTCGGTAAATGTGGTTGCCAATTCTTTTATATTGACCCACGCAGTCTTAGACTTAGAAAAGAAGTGTATGGATATTATTTTCTGTACTTTTATGAGTGAAATTGGCAATTCGATTTTTAATTCTGTCGAAATCTACTAGGACAATAGATCGGATTGTTATTGCATTATTGTGATAGATCGTTAGGATTGAGTCCAGTATTTGGTCCTATCGAGTTATCTGTGTGAGAGGATGACCACGTTGGACATAAAATAAGTATTGGTGTATATTTCTGAAATAAGTATTGGTGTATATGTCTGAAATAAGTATTGGTGTATATTTCTGAAATAAGCATTGGTGTATATTTTTAAAATAAGTATTGGTGTATATTTCTTAAATAAGTATTGTGTATATTTCTTAAATAAGTATTGATGCATATTTCTAAAATAAGTATTGGTGTATATTTCTAAAATAAGTATTGGTGCATGGTGCAGGGGGGGTTCCCGGTCTGACAGTGTTGTCCTTTTGTAACTATGTGAAAATCCATGGATCATACTTAAATCAATGATGCTGCTATATAGGGTCGCTTTGTTGAATTCGACAGACAATTTACGCTTCGGTGACTTATGGTCTAGTTCATGTGTTGTTTTGTCCGTATCAGGGTACCTGGAAATTGTTACATAGATTATGTATCATAAGATATCTGCATATCATCAATGAGAATCCCCAGGCTTGTAATGCTGTTATAATAAGTATTTCATTAGGTGATATTGGTCGAGTGCACATGCTTAAGTTACTGAGTACAGATTGTTTCGAAGTCTGAACTGACTCAGACCAATTGACAAAGACACGTTAGAACACGGGATACATTTGACAGGAAGGTTTCGCCAATGAGCATTCCGCTTCCTTTTAAAGGTGTTTAGACTTTCAGCATTTACCACTTCAGCAGGTAACCTTTTGTGATGCAAAGACGACAATGCTTTTTGTGAAGCTTCCTCTGGTGACCTCCTGTTGCTATGAATGTAAATTCCCTGAATGGTTTGTCCTTGACCACATCATCAACACCGTTTACGATCTTGTACACGTGTGCCCCGAGTATTCTGTATCCAAATGAAGTGTGGACAACCCTAATCGTTTAATCGAACTAGGTATACGGTCAATTTTAATTGAAGTTCGATTATCCGTTTAATTGTCCGTTGCTGTACGTTTTCCAAGTCTTGAAGGATTGTATGTCTTTCTTATAGGGAATATCGGGTCCAGTATATCTTTCTTAAAGGGGAGATCGGTCACAGTTCGGCCCACAGGGAAGTCCGGCCATACCCGATATTTTTGGCCTGGAGCAAATATTTACAACTTTGAGGCTCTTAGAGGAACTTTCAGTTGACGGCGGGACATTCACACATGAAAATAGCGATATATACTCATTTATTGAATTACTAAAACGGAGAATCAAGTTACTTTTGGGAGGATGGAAAGAACAATTGTACCACCTTTTGTTTTTAAAAAGAAAGAAAATCATGACCTCACTTCTGTCTAGTTTTGCGAGCTTTCTGTAACCCCTTATACCTACTTATCTATGCCATACGTAACAAACCGACAGCTTAACATGATGTTATACTTAAAAGCCAAGCACTGACTTTAATTCGTATTGTTGTAATATATTGCGGCAAGTTCGGACAGGAAGTCTGGGATAAGTATGGAGCCTGTTTGGAATCAAGATTTTCTCGCCACTGTCACGACTTCCCGTGTGTTGCCTGGACCGAACCTGGCCCAGTATCGTACGTGGATTGAACCTAACAAAAATTAAATCATATGATATTTCAATAAATTCATCTATTACAACAATGTCGTCAATGCTAGGCTCTTATGTATACCATTACGTGAAGCTGTCAATAAAGAGCAATTCGGTTTACAGGTAAGATCCTTAAAGTGGTAAATATTTGCAAGACCAAAATTAACTGGAGTAGCCGGACCTAACTCCCCCGAAAGAACAAACAAACTGCATGTGTGAAATATCTTACTTTTATTGTTTTAATTTTGCAAATCTTGCAAGATTAAGAATGATCTTTGTGTCAATTTTCTAGCCTTTGCATGCCATCTAGTGACCATGAAAAGCTGGTAAATGTGAAACGCTGTAATATCATCTGTTCTTTATTGTTTGTCTGTCTGTACTTCAAAATGACCATGCTCTTTGCAGTTCATTTAAGGACTAGTTCTGTTTTGTTGAGGTTTATGGGGTATTAACCTCAATGGGTATTGAGGCAAATTTTATGAACTGCGAAATTGAATTTTTCTCAAGACCTATTGAGGTTTATACCCCATAAACCTCAACAAAACAGGATTCTATCCTTATATTTACATTCAGTGCAATATCGATATTTTTTGGATATTTTTTTCAAGTATCTTTCTTGTGCAAGTCTAACACCACAGACGGTACCGAGGCAATATTATGACGTCATCACTCACTGTAAGACGTCGTCCTGGTTAGATGAATAGCTTGTTTGCAATGATTACAACGGAAAAAATATTAAAATCATACTTCCCGCGCTCCGCAGAATAACAGAGTAATCATGTTGATAATATGCTGATGTATTCATACGCCAACTGAAAAGTTCATTGAAAAATAACCTTTATACTCAGGCTACCGTGATTGCTCCCGGGACCATTCGCCATTCATGGGGATGTTATAACATGGAAATGGTTGAGATTACTATCCTATAATGAAAAACACCTACTGAACACCCATAGAAAAATACAATTTACACTGATGATGCTACCAGGGTTTTCCCCATGTCTGTTACCACCTCGGGGTACGCTAATGCTGGCCCCTTCCAGGGTTCATACAGGGCTGAGATACATGTATACAACATTTCATATTTAGAATAGGCTATAATATATATACCGCTTTCGTTTATCACGATTCAAACGATTGAACCGGTTGGATCAGAATTGATCGTTTATGAAACAAGATCTAATCTAGTAATATATTGCTTTCAGATGAGCATTAAGAAAGCCTTGCAAGGCCTGTTCTAAATACTTGCAAGTCCGCCAGGGTTTTATACCCGAAAATGTTCCTTTTATAAACGAACAGGCCCCAGGTAAACAGTGACATTATTTTACTAGTCCGACATAACATTTTTTCTTGTCCGTGTCATTGGGATAGGCAAATTGACATATGAATGCCGTACATGTCGATTTCAATTTAGAACTACCTTTTTTTTTAGCAATACTCAACTTTCGGTAGACCACGAACAGCATTAACATTTTTTGACATGTGCATCATTTCATGAAATCCGGCAGTAGGTTTTAATTACTATTATTATTTTTCCTTATTTTTCTTTATGTTTGTACGTTGTTTGCATGTGTTTATGAAATTGCATTTAATTATTTTGCCTGATTTCTTTGTTACATTGATTCCGTGTTCATATTGAAATAATACTCTACCAGGGTTCATCTTATGAAATTGTAATAGTTATTCAAACGCAGACCCGTTACACACTTTGCACGATTTCTTTTCTGGTTAACACCCAACTCCCGCCCCCTCTCCGTCCAATCCTTCTCCCGTTCCCCAAACCACTCCCGCCCCCTCTCCGTACAATCCTTCTCCCGTTCCCCAAACCCTACCCGCCCGCTGCACATAAAGTTGGTTTCCTTTTCTATTCTTTAAATTACTGAATATATATATGTATATTATTTTTAAAAAGTGTATTAGGGAGAGGACTATTTCAGTTGAAATAACTTTCAATTCAAAAGTATTTTATTGACAATACATATATAATACAAACATTTAAGTTAAAATTAAAGAAGATGTTAGAACAGTATTGACAAAAGAATCAGACAACAGCATTTCTATTTCCGGTAGCTATGTATAATGATTAAATATATATAGAATGTAATTTTAATTCGTTTTCCTCTCACACACATGCTAACCCACACCAGCTTATGTATTTACTCGTTGTTTAGTAAGGGATAAACTTGCCTGAAAATTTGGTCAATAAAATATGTTTAAACTTAAGGCAAATCACACATTAACAATATCTGAGATCCCCACCACATATAAAGCCTTTATACATGCATGATATGGGGCTTATAAATAACTAGCTGTTATAATATACAAGAATTAAAATAAAACAGTATTTTTTTCATGTTTGCATTTGCCCAGAGACGTATACTACATACGTCTGTGATTTGCCTGATAATTCTGATACAGATTATTTCAGTATTTTTTTTATTAGTATCAATTCAAGACTGATTGTGAGATGGGCTAGGCCTATATGATTTTTTGTTGTTGAAACAGCATATCAATGTAGATCTCCAGGGGGAGGGGGAGCGTCTAAAAAACAAGTTAAGAACTCTCCTTTATTTGGAGGTGCACTAACAATCAAGTATCCCAGAATGCTCTAATTTGGAGACAACAAACTACGAAGATGATGTCATCTCCGTAAATCCTTTCCATGAGAGTAATTTATCTATTTATAGCCAAATTTTGTCATTATATAAAGCTTGAACAGATTATATATGACTGAACTGTTGTGCAAGTTTGAAAATAAGCCACATTCGCAGGTCTGAGTATATTTCATCGTTGCCTTGGGGGTCACTTCATTTCCGAAGATGACGTCACAGATGTAAATACGACCAGAAAGGCAGTCTGTCTATTTCGTTGCAAACCACCAAAATGGAATGAAAATTACGTTTATATTGATGGTTTGATATTACAAATTGTAACCATGGATCTAGATGATGAATTCGACGATTACCAGGAGATGTCGGAGGAGGAAGAAAGCGATGGCGATGATAATTTCGTGGATATGGGACTCGAAACGGAACCGTCGACCGCACAGGAAAAACATGAATCGGAAGAATTCCCATACGAAATATTTACAGCGGATCAAATAGTCCAGTTTATGGTTGATTGCATAAAAGAAGTAAATGCAGTTGTCCAGGTTGGTTTTTCATGGTATTTTTAGATTCCGTCGACAACTGATTGAAAGCTTACGGGCTCGCCCAATTTTTTTGTCGGAACAAAATCTCATCAATAATGTGTCTCCGTTTTGTCCTCTAAGTGTTTGCCAGTTGGAACGAAAAAAGTTGTATACACAAAGGTAATTGTTGTATTGCGTCTTATTTTTCTTGTCAGTTCAGGAATAAAGATTTTTAGGAAAATACAGTAATTCAAGACCAATATATTAAAGAAAAATAGGAATATGCATCATGTTCTAAATTTAGCTTTCCACTACTTAAGTTACTCGGCTGGCTAATCCTGTCTTAGGCTGCTGTTGTTGGTTTACCATAGTACTATTATTAATTGTCACTCAGAAGAAAAGACTGAGAACTTAATTGAGGTAATCATATTAATGACGTAGAATCGGATAGTTAAGAAGAATGTTTTCAGTTGTGTTTTAAATTTTTATTTAGGCTGAGCAAAAAACTTGTCTACTTTTTAACCTGTTGACCCCTTAATCTCCCTAGAGGGAGTCGCGAGTCCCCACTTAAAAGATATTCTGTAGGGGTCAAATTGCATGACAAAGTTTTGGTTTTCAAATTTGATAATTTTGACTGTATGATGTAAAAGATGTGCATTGATTACTTTGTCTTACAAGCGTCACCTGTAGGGAAATTCCCTTAAGCTTAGTGGTAGAGCATCGGGCTGGAGAGCCAAGGGTTGCGGGTTCGAGCCCCATCAACGGCAATATCTTTATCACTATTTCTCGTACTACTACTACTACTACTACTACCCAGATATCAATTACACCTGTGTACCTTGTTTTCCAAATCATGGACTGAGTTTTTTTCATCATCTTGATACACTTTTTACAATAGCATGCAAGTCTTAGGCAATGTGACTGTCAGGAAATTTTTTAGAACACAGTTTTGAGGAATTATATGCTGTTGAGAATGCCACTTGGCTACAAAATTGCTAAAGAGTGTCTCATTTTCGGACTAAAAAATTATGATGTTGTATTTTGACAAGTGTCTTTTTTGGCAATCATTTAAACTATGACATAAATGCACTCAACATAGTTTACACTACTGAAAAATGGTAGAGCAAATTTAACAATAGGGATGAACGAATGTTTATCTTTATTCTCTAATTGCAAAACCCGTTATAAATAGATCTGCTGTATTCCACTTCATTTTTATCTTAAACAGCGACTAATGCAGGGGCCCCTGTAGAGTCGGGGGTTTTCTCCAAATTCTGTGTCTCCTACAACAGAGGACATCGTAGATACCAAAATTGATCAGTTGCCCCATTGCAACACTTAAGATCTTTTAAGTTTCCTATCTTTCCTGTCCTCTTACTTTTCAATCTACTTTCTATTTCCAGTAGTGCCTCCTTAGGCACCCATCCTCATATGACCCTGCCTGTTGTGAGGATGTTAATCCCTAAACATATCAATTGCATGCATTCTTGAGTTGAGTTGAATATATAGTCTTGACAATGATCATGTACTTCCTCCTGTTAAGAGCCATTTTGAAAGTGAAATACTAGTCCCACTTTACCCAGTATTAAACCTATATGCAGGGGCTGTGGTGGCCGACCTATATGCAGGGGCTGTGGTGGCCGAGTGGTTAAGGCGTCTGACATTCTGCTACCACCAGCCCTCCACCACTGGGTCACAGGTTCGAGGCCTACATAGGGAAGTCGCCAAGTACTGGTCACAGCTCAGTAGTTTTTCTCTCCGAAAACTCTTGCTTTACACAACCTGGCACATCCTAAGTGATTATACAGACTATAGCTGTATAATAGGACATAAAACAAACAAATAAAACTACATGCAAGACTTGAGTTGTATACTAAAGATTTTTGATTTTTAGAAAAACAACGGAATTTAACATGGTGCAGGATATCGATCCCACATATATATATATATAGCTTTCAACAATACAATGAAAAAGAAATGAAGATTGCTGCATATATAAGTAGATAGTACTGTGGATTCTGCTTATTCTAATGTCCTATTAGACCAATAAAAATATTATAATAACTAGGAAACATGCAAGTAATTTTAGTTCGTTTAAAGTTATCAAAACCAGAAGTAAGTTCCCTTATATGGTTGTCAGATTGAGCTTGCAGTTTGATTTTAATGATGATCTCACTTGCAAGTCGAGTAGAACTGGTAGAAAAAAAATAACCACTTCAAGCACAGAATATTTTCGTTTATTCTTATATAAAAAAAAAGATTATTTAACTGAAAAATCATTATTTAACTGAAAAATCATATTGTACATACCAGTAACAGTGCTTGTAAATATTGCAGATAAATCATTTACCGATTTATAATTAGCATATTACCATGATCACTGGGCATTGATAATGATCCATAAATGTTTTAGATAATGCAGGTGTCTAGGGGATCAACAATGTAAGACAAAAACAAATTCTCAGATCTGTGTATATATGGATAGCTATCCAATAAGTCATAAACACTTTTAAAGATATTTTAGGGTTAGGACACAGTTTTTCCCTCGTTTTCAGTTGGAAAGGTTGCCAGTATAACACGTTTTAACTTTATCAGTAGGTTGTTGGACGTTGGATCTCCCACTTCCTGTATTTTCTGTGTTTTAACTTTATGTTAATGATATATTTTGCGTCTTGATTTTCAGATTCCATCAACTATAACCAGGATTCTGCTGAATCATTTCAAATGGGACAAAGAAAAATTGATGGAAAGGTGAAAAGTTTGACATATAATTAGTTCATTATTAGTTCATACAAGTCTTGGTAAAGAAAATATTTTCATTGAATTATATATATAGATACAATTTCCGACATTGTATCAATGGTCATGCTAGTATGTAAAATGATATATATAAGAACAAAAATGTGATTCAAAGACTCTTAGAATTCATCATTGGTACTGCTGCTGCTTCTTTTAATACAGAACTATCCTTTTTTGTATGTTCCCTTTGTCAAGATGAATTTCACTTTAAAAAATGTTATTCTGAACACACAGTTTTCAATACCTGTATGCCTCTGACTCGGGTTACACCTCAGATGTTAATGTCTACATCTTATGACATTCAACTGATGTTTTATTTCCTTAATGTACTATATATATATATTCAGTTAGAAATAAAAAAAATATATATTGGAAGTATATATGTTATGATCAAAATTTGGCTCAGTTCCTACGTTTTGACATGTTTCCAATTAAATAAAATTCTGTTTCTGGCAGAGGAAAATTTAATTTCCTAGTTTTCCACATATAAATGCTGAATAATTTAAATAGAATAATTTCAGAAAATGCTGCATTCTTTTGAAGAAAATAAAAAACATTGGCGTTTGTATGCCTCGACCCTTTAAAATGTTTTTACTAATTTAATAAAGAAGGTGGAAATTAAAAAGAAAAACAGGAAAAATCCATTCACATAGTTATGAGTAATGAGATTGTTTGGAAAAAGTCGTTTTCTCATGATCAGTTAAGGATATTTTGATGTCGGCTGGGCAGATTACTCTTGAAATTTAAATGTTTTTACTGAACAATAGCAGTTTGCTGATCATGAAATGTCACTAGGGACCGAGAACTGACAACTTTACCTAAGCTAGTCCAATAATGTTAAACCTCAAACAAACACTAAAATGAAAATATATGGACTCTCTCCCATATATTGAATGGAAAACCATGCCCAATTCAAATTTATATTACAATGTGTATGACTTGCAGGTATTATGATGGTGACCAAGAGAGACTGTTCTCCGAGGCCCATGTTGTCAGTCCTCACAGGAAAGACTCTTCAGGCAGGCCTGCTAAGGTAATATTTCAGACTGGAAATTGTATCATGTGTGGAATTTGGACCTGTGTATGAACAAGTATTTTTACATACCTATAATAGTGTTTCATACACTATTAAAAATATATAAAAAATCCAGAATAAGAATTAATTTTACATAGGCAATTTAATTATCAATTGAAAAAGGTAATGACAAATTATTTCTATCTTATTCAGTATCATTTATGGTGTTGAATTTGTATATAACTGCTATCAATCTTGTTGATATATGCCTTTGGGATGTATTAACTATCCTCTTGTTTACTTTTGACTAAGAAGATGACGAGGTCAGCATCAGCCGCAGCTAGCCAGGAAATTACCTGTGAGATCTGTTATTTTGGCAAAGTCGCTGTGGTAATTATCATCATGTATTTCTATAATGTGTAAAAAAAATCCATCGTAATGGCTGGTGCATGGCCTGTTATATTAGTCTATGATGTAAATCGGATATGGAATAGAGGTATGTAGATGGTCCTGGTAAAAGGTTATAATTGTACGTCTCTTCAGATAAAGGGGTAAAACTATTGTGGTTTGGAGGCTTGATTATATCGATATGTTGGTATTGACTTTTTTGGAATATAAACTCCATGCATTAAAGGTCCTTGACAAACTCTGGTTGTAGTGTGCATAAAGATATACCTCACTAATATAAGCCCGATATAGCCCACTGTCTTTCAAGATCAAAATTAATTATGCCCCCGCAGCTTAAATGAATCATGAATCATGTGCCTTTTCCATTGGCCTATGACATCTTCACTTGGTTAGACTTTGTATTTAGCCTGATACCAGTAATCAGCTCTCTCATCAAACAATTTACATGTAGACACTACACCATTATATCAAACGTAGGTGACCTACCTGTAGTTACACTCTATGGACTGTCTTTGGACTTTTAGCTCTCTTCTATCTAACCGGGAGAAGAGAAGTATGCTTAAGTTTCACAAAAAAAATCTAGAATTTTGAAGTAAATTTTATATATACATTCTAGTATATAACAAATCAGGTGTTCACACGTTGATAGTTTCTTTATGATATCTTTCCCCTAAATATGAAGCATATGTCTGACCTCAAAGGACTTGAACCCTACGAAAACTAGCGTCAACAATGGCAAAATGTGCCAAGTTAAAATAAAAATAACTTTTGAAAATTGCTTATCCTAATAATAAATTCAGGGCATTTCTAGCTGTTTTTCCACTGAACGCCAGTTATAAAAATCTGGGTATGAATCTCATGTCTTAGCTCTTTCTGCACGTGTACCATGTTTGCTAGAGCTAAGTTTGTATTAAGTAAACATAGACAGATTTAATATGGAGAGAATGATGGCGACTGAATTGTTATGATGTCCATTGCAGGAGATGACAGGGTTGGAGTGTGGCCACAGGTTTTGTGTACCATGCTGGACAGACTACCTCACATCAAAGATTATAGACGAAGGCCAAGGTCAAACTATTTCCTGTGCTGCGTATGGTTGTGATATTTATGTAGATGATGCCACTGTCATGTAAGTTATCCTCATGTTTCTGTATTCAGGTCGACTGGTATTCACATTGTTGATCAGAACCCATACCAATTGGAAGTAAAAGAATTACAAGGGACCACTATTCATAAAGTTCATATTTTGAAATCATTTAATTTAAGTGTTTGCAATTTCACATTGAAAAATGTATAGTGCTATATTTGTGTGATATTGACAAAAACAAAATTCTTTCAAATCGTTTTGAGAATATTCTCATCTACAACTATCAATATTTTTTAAATTATTTAAATACAGAATTGATTTCGCATAAGAAAACCCTCAGACAAAATAAACCATGATAATGAAATTTGTCTATAAAGACCATCTGCCTATATAGAACACCTCCCTGTCTCAAATGGTGTTTTCTGTACAAACAACCTGTCTCTCAACACTTTGCTCTTTCTCTTCTGGGCAGTCTTATAGACAGGTATGATTTCTTAAATTGAAGAGTAGTTTCAAACTTTACATCAGATATTTTGTGTATTTTTTTTAATGATAAATTTTAAAGGGAAAAACCCCTCTTTTTTTAAAAAATTATGAATGTCACATGTTGATTTCTCACATTCTCTGATAATTTTAGAATTATATCTGTTGTTTTTTTTTATTCCAGGAAACTAGTCAAGGATAGAAAAGTGAAATTGAAGTACCAACATCTTATAACAAACAGTTTTGTAGAAGTAAGTTTTATGTAATCAACAACAGTGTTGGCTAAACTCAATGACATTACAGTAAAACCTTTAATGTTTTAACTTCCTGTATCCTGATTTAGTTGTGATTGCATCAGTTAATCTAATATTGACAGACTGTTCTGTTAGTTCAAATAATGTAATCGGCTATTTACTTCTTCACATATTTCATTAGTAAGGCACAATTCACTACCATAAACAAAAATCATGGAAAATGTAAAAAAAAAGAAGTTCTTTATAGTGTACTCCCTTGTTTAAATGGGTTAATTGAGTGTTATCTGTTTGGCAGTGTAATAGACTACTACGATGGTGCCCTGCCCCAGATTGTGGCCATGCTGTGAAGGTGGGGTACTTCGACTGTAGACCAGTAACTTGTGCTTGTAGTCACACATTCTGGTAAGTAGAACACCATTTACTGCTATAGGAACACCTTGTGTGACCAAATCAGTTTGTTTCTGATAAGAAAAAAGTCTGTAAATATTGTTTCAGATATGAAAAATCTCCTAAAATGAATAAGATTGGTGTAAACTATGAAGGGAGTTTTCCCAATAATGACACTGTATATAGTCGATAGTTTGTAAAAACTTTTTTGAGCAAGTGAATGTTTGAATCAATAATTTGTTTGGTTGCTTGTTAGTCTCCAGTAAATACTGGATATCAAAATTATCACCAGTCACCAGTGTGTAGTCAGAACTTATTTTGCTGATCTAGTAACGTTAACAGAATATTGAACTTTCACTGATCTAGTAACGTCAACAGAATGTTGAACTTTCACTGATCTAGTAACGTTAACAGAATGTTGAACTTTCACTGATCTAGTAATGTTAACAGAATGTTGAACTTTCACTGATCTAGTAATGTCAACAGAATGTTGAACTTTCACTGATCTAGTAACGTTAACAGAATGTTGAACTTTCACTGATCTCGTAACGTTAACAGAATGTTGAACTTTCACTGATCTGGTAACGTTAACAGAATGTTGAACTTTCACTGATCTGGTAACGTTAACAGAATGTTGAACTTTCACTGATCTAGTAACGTTAACAGAATGTTGAACTTTCACTGATCTGGTAACGTTAACAGAATGTTGAACTTTCACTGATCTGGTAACGTTAACAGAATGTTGAACTTTCACTGATCTGGTAACGTTAACAGAATGTTGAACTTTCACTGATCTGGTAACGTTAACAGAATGTTGAACTTTCACTGATCTGGTAACGTTAACAGAATGTTGAACTTTCACTGATCTGGTAACGTTAACAGAATGTTGAACTTTCACTGATCTGGTAACGTTAACAGAATGTTGAACTTTCACTGATCTGGTAACGTTAACAGAATGTTGAACTTTCACTGATCTGGTAACGTTAACAGAATGTTGAACTTTCACTGATCTGGTAACGTTAACAGAATGTTGAACTTTCACTGATCTGGTAACGTTAACAGAATGTTGAACTTTCACTGATCTGGTAACGTTAACAGAATGTTGAACTTTCACTGATCTGGTAACGTTAACAGAATGTTGAACTTTCACTGATCTGGTAACGTTAACAGAATGTTGAACTTTCACTGATCTGGTAACGTTAACAGAATGTTGAACTTTCACTGATCTGGTAACGTTAACAGAATGTTGAACTTTCACTGATCTGGTAACGTTAACAGAATGTTGAACTTTCACTGATCTGGTAACGTTAACAGAATGTTGAACTTTCACTGATCTGGTAACGTTAACAGAATGTTGAACTTTCACTGATCTGGTAACGTTAACAGAATGTTGAACTTTCACTGATCTGGTAACGTTAACAGAATGTTGAACTTTCACTGATCTGGTAACGTTAACAGAATGTTGAACTTTCACTGATCTGGTAACGTTAACAGAATGTTGAACTTTCACTGATCTGGTAACGTTAACAGAATGTTGAACTTTCACTGATCTGGTAACGTTAACAGAATGTTGAACTTTCACTGATCTGGTAACGTTAACAGAATGTTGAACTTTCACTGATCTGGTAACGTTAACAGAATGTTGAACTTTCACTGATCTGGTAACGTTAACAGAATGTTGAACTTTCACTGATCTGGTAACGTTAACAGAATGTTGAACTTTCACTGATCTGGTAACGTTAACAGAATGTTGAACTTTCACTGATCTGGTAACGTTAACAGAATGTTGAACTTTCACTGATCTGGTAACGTTAACAGAATGTTGAACTTTCACTGATCTGGTAACGTTAACAGAATGTTGAACTTTCACTGATCTGGTAACGTTAACAGAATGTTGAACTTTCACTGATCTGGTAACGTCAACAGAATGTTGAACTTTCACTGATCTAGTAACGTTAACAGAATGTTGAACTTTCACTGATCTAGTAACTTCAACAGAATGTTGAACTTTCACTGGTCTAGTAATGTTAACAGAATATTGAACTTTCACTGATCTAGTAACGTTAACAGAATGTTGAACTTTCACTGATCTAGTATTGTTAACAGAATGTCGAACGTTCACTGATCTGGTAACGTTAACAGAATGTTTAACTTTCACTGATCTGGTAACTTCAACAGAACTATGTTGAACCGGTTTTATATATAGCGAAAAATCCCCTGGAACTGGTTAACTATGATATTACTGGCTTGGTTGCCTCTCTCTACTTGATGTTTTATTGAACATGGATGTAAGGAATTCTTGATTACACTGTTAGTTGATGCCATATGGCATGAGAGGTTCTGATACCCTGAGGTACCCATCGTTGATTGGTTTGTAATACATTCACCCTGGGTAAGTACGGTCTGTTGCTTATTTTCAGTTTTGCCTGTGGTGAGAACTGGCATGACCCGGTGAGATGTGTGTGGCTAAGGAAGTGGATAAAGAAATGTGATGACGATAGTGAAACATCAAATTGGATAGCAGCCAATACAAAGGTGACAGTCCTCAGCACCTACATTTCTGTGTTGTTTTCCTGATTTGAAACCCACCCCCACAAAGAAAAAAAATGAAAGAATCAATAGGGTGTTATAAATGCATCTGCAGTTTGATCATAAATAATGTTGAGTTGTTTATGAAATACAATAAAAAAAATGCACAGGTCCCTGTTGAAAGATAGTAGAAAATTAATGATGTTTAGTTTCAAGTTAAGATCATACAAGATTTCCAAAAATAAACACTATATATATGAGTTCCACATAGTTCAGTATGTTGGCTGTGATCAAACTTTTCTGGCCAAAATTTTTATCAAGAAAAGTTACAGTGTTTAAAAAGTGACTTTGTTTACTCCAGGAATGTCCCAAGTGTCATGTGACCATAGAGAAGGATGGCGGCTGTAACCACATGGTCTGTAAGAACCAGAACTGTCGGGCAGACTTCTGCTGGGTGTGTCTAGGTCCCTGGGAGCCTCATGGTTCCTCTTGGTAAGTCTGTCAACGCATTTATCACATGGTCTGTAAGAACCAGAACTGTCAGGCAGACTTCTTCTCGGTGTGTCAAGGTCCCTGGGAGCCTCATGGTTCCTCTTGGTAAGTCTGACGACGTATTTATCACATGGTCTGTAAGAACCAGAACTGTCGGGCATACTTCTGCTGGGTGTATCTAGGTCCCTGGGGGCCTCAAGGATCCTCTTGGTAAGTCTGTCAACATATTTATCACATGGTCTGTAAGAACCGGAACTGTCAGGCAGACTTCTTCTGGGTGTGTCTAGGTCCCTGGGGGCCTCATGGTTCCTCTTGGTAAGTCTGACGACGTATTTATCACATGGTCTGTAAGAACAGAAACTGTTGGGCATACTTCTGCTGGGTGTGTCTAGGTCCCTGGGAGCCTCATGGATCCTCTTGTTAAGTCTGACGACATATTTATCAAATGGTCTGTAAGAACCGGAACTGTTGGGCAGACTTCTGGGTGTAACTTCAAATTGTCAAGATCTGAAGGCTGCTACGCTCATTTACATAAATAAGTTTGTTTGGATGTTTGTGTTTTATGTCCTATTAATAGCTATGGTCATTAAATGACGTGCCGGAAATCCCAGAGAAAAACCACCTACCTGTGGCCAGTACCTGCTTGTCACATTGGGTTAATATAGTCAAAAATAAATGTGACTTAAATGAAATGTAATCCTTCTATTTCTACTACACAGGTATAACTGTAACAGATATGATGAAGACGAAGCAAAGAAAGCCAGAGACAATCAGGAGGTAGGACACACTATTAGAGACTTAATAGTTCACAAGTTGTCTCCCTTTCTGTGGTAGATATAGTTTACAAGTTGTCTCCCTTTCTGTGGTAGACCACAGATGGGAGGGACTGTTGATAAATAATGAAATCAGATTATTATGGCCTTCCAACAAGGCAAATTTCAGTTAACAGGAAATTATAATTCATTGGAATTTGCTGTAGATTCTGCTTTATATATATAGCCCATTTTTCAGAAAATTTTCTGCATTTAAATAGTAAAACATGTCATTAGAATGTGTTGTAATATCAACTCTCAAAAAAAGGTTATAATCATATCTGAAAAAGTTTTCATATTGTCATTAATAGTTCACTAAGTAAGGATATTTTATTGAAGTAACTGCCTTATGTGTTATGCACTCAAAGTATAAAAGAAGCAAAATTGATATGTCAGTGTTAAGGGTTATCAGAACTTGACATGTCAGTGTTAAGGGTTATCAGAACTTTGATATGATTTTGTTTCACATGAATTTGAATTTCACATGGTCGTAAAAAGCTTACACAATTTGTTATAATCTCTGACAGAAATCGCGAGGGCAGCTTCAGCGGTACCTGTTCTACTGCAATCGATACATGAACCACATGCAGAGTCTCAAGTTTGAGAACAAGGTAAGTCACTTGTGGATTGTAAGGTAATGGTAGAATATTGAGTAATAGTGGAGTCACATCGACGCTACATATATATTGGTTACTGGGAGAAGTGAACTGTTCCTCTTCCAAAATCACCCTAACCCAGATTTACTTTGGCTTCTCTTGGAGAACTCTGGATGAAACTAACTAAATGAATAATTTTATGAAACTGTTTTCAAAAGTAGATCCTTATGACACCAAGAATTTTTTCCTCAATTAAACTCACTGTATTTTGCATTTCAAACTTTGTCTGCTATCATCAATATGTTTTCCCCCCGAGCATAACGTTTGTATTAATTAAAATATTAATAGCACTTAACTTGTTACAGGGGCACATCTTTGGATGGCAGTGTGTTACTTGCTGAAAGTAGGTCAATGTGACCTCAATTTAACCTTGGACCTTTATAGAGTGTAAAGCTCGTATTCATACATGTTCATTCTGGAATATCTGAGTGATCACTATGAGTAGTACATCACTGTAACCCGATTTTACATTTAACCATATCATATTTGGAGTTTGTTGGCAGCCTATCTTACATCTTGGCCCATATTCATGAAATCAAGCATGGATTCTGTGATGAAACCAGCTTTCTTGTAACTTGCATAAATCTTATGATACTGTCAACAAGTCAAATCTAGATATTGGAAACAGTATTAACTCCAAGTCTGTTCAAACCACTCAAAATTCATCGACAAAATGTGAATATTAATTTAATTATCTTATCACGGAACAAGAAACTGGGCTTGAGCACAGAACCTGTTTGAGCATGAGAACGGTTTCATAAACTCGGACCCTGATCTAAAAATAGAAAACTTAGTACATGAAGACATTGGTGCAAAGCAGAGCTTTTCGCCAAAATTTAGAAATTGAATTGTGATCAAAACAAGGTATATATACATGTAGTACTGCACCCTTTTTACTGGTTGGGTACTACAGATTGTTCTTCAAATACATTTTATTGTTAGATCTGATTTCTGTAAGATCAATTCATACTGAAGATCAGTGCTGTTTACCTCCAGTTGTAAGAATCCAGTAAGTGACAATAAGAAATCCTGTTTCATTTGCAGCTGTACACATCCGTGAAGCTGAAGATGGAGGAGATGCAACAACACATGTCTTGGATTGAGGTTCAGTTCCTGAAGAAAGCCGTGGATGTGCTTTGTCAGTGTCGCCAGACACTTATGTTTACCTATGTCTTTGCCTTCTATCTAAAGAAGAACAACCAGTCCATTATATTTGAGGTGAGGTGACGTCCAAATTAGATGACAATATCTTGTAAGACATGTTGTCTAATTTTTGTCCTGTTTGTGATGGATGGCTTGGCAAGAACTAAGCCATGTACCCATAAGATGTCATTTTGTGATCTTGATTGTAATGACATGAAATTAAAATGTATTTCAGTTATGTTATAAGGAGTACCAAAGTTAAAACTTGAGTCTGTATTCATCTGTCAAATGTTGAATTTACCTCTTTTTTGTTAGCAAAGAGTAAAGGGAAACTATTTAGCATACAGTGTGCAATTCTAATGTTCTAACAAATTGATAATCCTCTGATGCTTTATAGTGTGTACATGATACTCAGCACTAGTGCTCAGTATTGCTGTATCATGATAAATTGAAACTACCTATAAGAAAGTAATCTATATTCACCACATGCATCTTCTAAAAGACTGCTCCAGTATTTTGAAAAGAGTTTCACAATCAGAGGTCTGTATCAATGATGTAGGTTGTAAAGTTATAACAGTCACAATCAGTGGTGTGTATCAATGATGTAGGTTGTAAAGGTATAACAGTCACACTCAGTGGTCTGTATCAATGATGTAAGTTGTAAAGGTATAAGTCACCACCAATAAATATTGCACCAGAAAATTTTGAGTTGCACAATATCGTCAATCTGGGAAATTAATCCATATTCACAATCATTACATGCCTAAGGTCTGTATGAAATGCCTACTATTGGACGGAGGTGTTGTATTATAACTGGTTTGTTTTCAGGATAACCAGAAGGATCTAGAAAATGCTACAGAACAGCTCTCCGAGTATTTAGAACGGGATATCACGTCGGACATGCTACATGACATCAAACAGAAAGTACAAGATAAATACAGGTAGACATTGTTTTATGTTTTACCACTCAACATAAGATATGGTTATGCCTCATCCATGTAACAGCATATCTGATTGGATTATATTAATCACATGACATGGAAATAAAACAGTGTGTCTCCCTCGAGTGCTCATGTTACCCAGGTCATATTTACCTTATTTAAAGCCTCTCTAGAAACATTAGCAAGAGACACCACACTGGAATTAAGAGTGACTAAAGCAGAAGACAACGATGATTGATAACATTCTATTTTTGTTTTATTAGGTATTTATTGCCCTTGCAATAGGGAAACAAGATTCTTTGTTTACCTGAGATTATTCATGTTAACCACAAACCTTGCCCCCGTGAAACATGACTGATCTGGAGAAAACAAAGAATTGTTTCCCCTCCTTTAAGGGCCAATGTAATGTAGCTACTTGTGACAGAATCAGATTAGTGGGTATTAATATTGTGTACACACGTTGGAACCTTTGGCCACAGTTGATATGTTGCCTTTCTTATGAAATATGAGGGAGTTTTAGAAAATTACTAGTATTTCTGTAGTTATGGGTGGGAATTATTCTGGACAAACCTTAGACTTCCAACTAGGGCTGCCATGACATGAACAGGTGTTAACTGACAACAAATTGCATTTAAAGATAGACAAAGCATTCTGTCCATCTAAATAGTATGTTTTGGAATGATGAATTAATAGACATTTTCTACCTTGGTCTTCAGATACTGTGAAAGCAGACGCAATGTGCTATTAGACCATGTACATGAAGGCTATGAGAAGGAACTGTGGGAGTATCACGATTTCTTCTAAATTCCAACCCAAAGTTTGATGTCATTCTGTGAACCACTGATACACACCGAGGGGGAGGGCTACTGGATCTTAACAAGTGAAACATGGACCCAAAGAGAACCCAATGTTTGTACAAACTCATATAATATTAAAAGATTTAATATATATGGAAAGCCTGTTGGATACGCACTTGGTCGGACCGTCAGTAATACTGTAATAATTCAATCCTTGGAACCCGTCAGTGATAACCTGTGTGTTTTGTATGCTCGCGCCATTGATAATTGATTTTATCATCTGAACGTGGATGCGTATGTGGAATATGTGTATATAACATTAAAATATATGCTTATGAATTATGAAAGTCTGGTTTAAATCTCTGTGGGGAGCAACGAGTGTTTAAATCTCTCTTGGGAGTAATGATGGATTCTAGAAATAATCAAGGATGAAACGTATTGTGATTTGCTAAGTCGGCAATGTCATAGGTAGAATTCAAACCAAACATTTAATTCTATCTTTGTTGCGTAAAGATGGAAAAAAAATTGAAGAAAAAACAAATTTTATTTAGTTGAGATGTATGAAAGGTAATTTGTTCTGATTTTTTTTTTTTGCGTGCTTAAATGCAAGGAAGATGTTTCCCTAAACAAGTACGGAAATATAGTATTTAAATATCCTTTTTATTTGTTCATGATAATCATTCATCATATGTTGCATCAAATCAAATTTTATTTTCAATAATAAATCCTGTTTTTATTTATCGTATGTATACAGACACCTTTGTTTGACACATCTTTGTGTGTAGAAAATATTTGTTTAAGTTCAATATGTTAGTGTAACTGTTAGTATTTATTCCTTTCTATACTGAAATAGCTTTTAAGATATTTTGAAGAATGCTTGGTCAATTTGATGGGGAAAATCACTTGGTATCACACATCTGTATCTGGAGATAATTGTAACACTGTCTTAGATCATTTTTTTTTCAAACTTTTAACTTATACCTAATACAGAATTAAGGTGAAGTTCAGCATATAAATTGCACTAATTAATTCGTATAAATGAATTTGTCTCAGTTTTCCCAAAATACTGATGTCCCTTTTCTATTACAAAATTTTACTATAAGCAACAGGTCTGAATAAAATTAAACTGCACATTTGGGTTTTCTATTAATTGATCATATTGAACTGGAAATGGAGCCTACCAGTCATGTTGAATAAATTGAAATTCAGCTTTTGAATTGACGGAATGTATATCAATAATTATCATGTACACACTTAATTTATTCTGATTTCGTGTTGAATGTAAGATTATCAGTCCTTTGGACAGACTTGTATTAACACATCAGACAGTTATAATTAATTCCGTATTTATATGTTGGTGCCATCGTATAAATGCACATCCACACATTAACGAGTTAACTCAAGAGAGAACCTAATTAGCACTGCACTTGTGGAGGTCAATGTATCAAATTTCACGAAATTCACAAAAACTGTCCCAGCTATTACCAGTCTGGTAACAGTATAAAGGAAGTTTTGAATTAAAAAACCAAATTGTATGCATGTATTTGCCTAGTGAAACTAATATTTTTTTGTGCTTTTAAATTAGTAACAAATTCTAATGCAAGGTGTTGCAGCGTTGTTGGCTTTTAAACGGAGTATGCTTCTAATATAGAGGGTAACGGGTCAAAGTTTGTGTTGTCGGCGTTCAGGCAGCATGCTTCTACTTTCCATGTTGTCGTGATGTTGGCTTTGAATAGAAATGTCCTCTAACCCTTGGTACAGTCACTTGTCAGCTTCCTCACCGAGTAGGTTTCATGCATCTCATCTTAAAATTACAATCCAGTCACATGTAAAACTCATTTGTGAATATAGATTAAATCTGATTTCCTAATTTTTATGCTTTTATCCTTTTGAATTTGAATGGTTTGCTCTCATCCTCAGAGGAACGTCCAATCAATTTATAGGGGAAGAAAGACATATATGTATTGTTTTCAGAAAGAAGATATTTTGAGGAGAACCTCCCATTGATGACCCAGACGGGCTGTGTGCATGTGTCCACTATTGAATAATTAAGACAAGAAAGCACTTCCTGCATGAGCCAGTGATGTTTAATTGCCATTAAACCTTCCAACATGCCTGAACCTATTCCATTGAAATTCATGTTCTCAAATCTTCCATAAATATAATGTTACAACAGGTACCTAGGATTCGACTCAATGTTCATTATGAAATTAATAAAGGGGTCCCAGAGAATATTTCACCAAAAATATTTTTTTAGCAATATCACCAGCAAGCTGCTAATATAACATTTATAATTTTATGTTATCTCTGATTGTGCTTGGCAAACAAACTCCTTGGAGTGTAAAAAGAAGATCATTGATGAATGTGTAGAAATTTAGCATGTGTTTAATATTGTGAGTGGGTTAGAGAGAGTGAATCTGTGTGAAAAAGCTATAAACCAAAGGGGTTTTAAAAGGTATGCCTACCACTTCATTCTGCTTGTATTATATTAGGAGACTTTGTTTTGAATGGGGTCTGTTCGTGCCTAATTCTGACACCAGTAAATTATATTACAGACAACATCAAAACTGCTCAAGATATTCTTAGTTATCAAACAGGAGATTTATGTTGTAATCCCTAATTTTAGTTCACCTGTGTTTGGCATTGAAATTTGGCTTCAGCTCTTTTAAACTATGTTGCTGTCAGTTTTTTAAAGTCGTCAAATAATTGATTTTCGTATTAAAACTTTTATTGATAGAAATATTCCTCTATTTCTGAACGATTTAGTATTGGCCTGGTTTTATGTAATTAGCTGGACTTTCTACAGTCTGTTGATATCGTTTCCTAAGGTAAATACACTGGCTGGTATACTGGGTCAGGGTTATATAAAGTTGAAAATGTCGCAATTAAATCCGTTATTTTTTTGTGTTTCTAAAATTAGTATTGGATCATTCTGAAATTAATAAAAGAAAAGATTGATTTATAAATATAAACAATTGCAAAAGTTCAAGACTTTGTTTTGAAATCTGTTGACTCCACTATATATGAAAAAAATGATTCATATCAAGAGATATTTGTCTTCACATTTTTTTTTCAGAATTAAAACTTTGCGTGAATTAACAATATTTATTTCATGATTCAACAGTGTTAAATTACGTGCTACTTACACATTTTCTGTACCCAAATATACCTAATATCAACCGCTCCGTTCCCCAATCTAAGCTGTAGTACACATAGCTACAAAAATGGTTTTCAAAACACGTGTTGTCACCTAAACCTGTTTATGTTTGTGGTGTAAAAATTTTGTTATGTAGAAACAAAGTATCTCTTGTTCATATATGTTTTAAAGATTGAAATAAGAAATTTATGCTATGATTTATTTGTTTGTTGTTCATTCTTTTTATTCGAATTTAAAACCTTTTTATTGTGCAACTTAAAATAGCATAAAACTTTGCATAGCTGTATTTCTGTCCATCATGATAGTTTGTTGGTAAAATGAGGAATTAAAGCCGTAATTGCACCCTGATGATGAACTAAATCTACACACTATTTCACTGTGAATGCCATTATAACTGCTTCAAATAGTTAATTATTCCTTTGACCCTGTATACTGGGATGATCAACACAATCTGTTATTTGTATATAAGGTTATCTCAAGTCTGAGGCTAGGATTTTGTAACTGATTTTCCTCAAGTTTTAAATAACCTACTCTGGCTCAGCAGCAAGTAATAATTTCAAGACGTATTAGTACTTGACCTTGTATAAGTACTTGACCTTGTATAAGTACATGACCTTGTATTAGTACTTGACCTTGTATTAGTACTTGACTTTGTATTAGTACTTGACTTTGTATTAGAACTTGACTTTGTATTAGTACTTGACCTTGTATAAGTACATGACCTTGTATTAGTACTTGACCTTGTATTAGTACTTGACTTTGTATTAGTACTTGACCTTGTTTTAGTACTTGTCTTCTTTAGTCCTTTTAATGTAATCTTAGGGACTTATTGTAAAAGGTATCGTAATGAAACTTTTAAGTGTACCTGCATCACCCTGAAAGGTGTGCCGTGTACTTTAATTAGGTTACAGTGACCTTCACATTAATAAGTCAAATTAGTACAAAATTCACTGGGAAATCTTGTCCACGTTGCAACTTTTAAAAAAAAATGTTGAAATGTGAAATGTATCTATCATCTAGAGAAGGTTTACAGTGTACTGTAATTAGGTCACTGTGACCCTTGCCTCTAGGTCAAATATATGTGGAGATGCTTTAATGAACAAAGTCAACTATTCCTGCATTCCTCTCAGGTATTTAGGTCACTTCTAGGTCAAAGATGAAAATATACAAATTGGATAATATGTTTTTTTTCGTAAATTTGTTTTATTCATGAAATATTTTATTTCACGATAGTTTATTAGTATCTTGGCCCAGTTGTTCAAAAGGTGGTTAGCCTAATCACAGTTTAATGACAATTTTTTTCAACCTTTAATCATTCCATCAATATGCAAGGTAAAATCTCACAATTTTGCATGTAAATTCACTGTTCTAAATAGTTGATATCTGAAAAGTTGTAACTAATTCAATGGTTGTGTTTTAAAGATACACAAAAAACAATATTTGCGCTAATCACTGATTAAGCTAATCACTTTTTGAACAACTAGGCCCAGGTGCGGAACCTCAAATTAGCCTTTTACTTAAACAATGTACTCTGTGCTAAAAGGAGAAGAAAAACATGTTCTACACTGTAGATTATATTTTAAATGTAATATGTATTGTGCATCGAACAATATCAAAACAAAACATTTAGCCACAAGAAGCATGCATTACTTGTGTTATTGTGTGGATAAATCCGAGAGGAGAGATCCACTGACAACCCTAATTGGAATTTATATCACTTGTGAGTATAGTGAGAAACAGTTCCACTGTGAATGTGCTCAAAACTGTTCTTAAGCACTTAAGTCCTTTTGTTTGTTTACCCCGACAAGAAATTGTAACCTTAAAGTCAAACTCTCCGACCAATTACACCTATATCGTGGCAATTTAGTCCCTTAGAGTTCTTTATAAACATGTTTCACTGTAAGAGAATCCTACACCTACAGTATTTATACCGTCTGGTCTAGACAATAAAGCTGTAGGTGTTACGTCGGGTGACATAGCTGTGTATGAAAGGCAGTATTTACCCAAAAAGTATTAATACCTAAATAGTAAAGTACACTGGTTGTGGCCATCTTTTCATAGCAATGTTACCATCAAATTCAAGAGATATTTGAGGTGATTTAACACAAACCGCTGGTCTTGATTAGATATATAAAATTATGCTTTTTGGCCCAGCAAAACAGTTTTTGAGAAAAATCTCTAAAACAATGGTCAATTTTTTCCAGATGATTGTTAGATGTATTGAGCGGTGGTTGTGGTCATGTCCCACTGAGTAGTTTAACAGGTTACAGGTGAATGTGTACGGGTCGACTTTTATAAAGACTTCAACTAGAGATACGACATGTTTAAGGGAGATAACTCATAAGAAAAATTTGTATAAGAATATTATTATTACATGTTAAAAGACGACTCTGAAGTACAATAATACACCAACTCCTGCAATAGTTTAGAGATAATTGAAATGTATATATCATACGAGTATTCACAGAAAGTTTGGATATGCATGATTTTCACTGTAAATGCCTGGAAGCATGGTAATTTATTGTAAGGCACACAACTAAAATGCTGTTGAATGTTCTCCACAAATGCATGACTGTTTCTCATCCCAGCTGATTGACATAACAGATCATAGATTGAAGTTTCTGTTATTATAATGCAAAATATATATAGTTATATATTTCTGGAAAAGAATTTCCATACCATTATATAACATAAATACAAAACTCACATTTGATATTTGCACACATAAGACAAAAAGACGCTTGACTGAAAATGTTGAAAAACTATATTGTACAATCTATGGAAGTCTGAGTTAAGAAAGAGCATTCTTGCAACACTGCATGTAATATAGAGAAATCAAAATGTGATCTGTGCTTGCAAATAGCTACTGTGTAAGCAAAATAAAGTTTTTATTGAAGATAATAGCTTCAAGGCATCAACAATTCACTTAGTATGCTTTATGTATTGTGTTGACACCAAATAAACAAACTATCAAAACTTGAAAGGAGCTGCCAAATTTCTCCAAGAGATAAAAGTTGATGGACATGTTCAGTGATTTCTGTTGAACAATACGGCGCCAAAATAGATGTGAAAAAGCTATTTTACACAATGTCATGTGCTTTGTATGGTCCATAAAAAGCTATTTTACACAATGTCATGTGCTTTGTATGGTCCATAAAAAGCTATTTTACACAATGTCATGTGCTTTGTATGGTCCATAAAAAGCTATTTTACACAATGTTGTGTGCTTTGTATGGTCCATAAAAAGCTATTTTACACAATGTCATGTGCTTTTGTATGGTCCATAAAAAGCTATTTTACACAATGTCATGTGCTTTGTATGGTCCATAAAAAGCTTTTCCTTCAAAATAGAACGTGGCTACGGATTAGGGTTGCAAGAGAATGTGTGTGTTATTGGACAACAAGGACTTTCTATAAATATGAGGGTTTTTTCTTTCAGGAGAAGTTTTTGTGTACAATCATGTACGTTGTGATAAAGTGTTATTTAATAAAGATAATTGAAATCATCACGCCCTTCTGTTTTCTAACTAGTGTGAAGATTATGTAAACTGTCCTATTTTCACCTGCTAAATTTTTGGCAGTTTATGTAAATTCAGTGTAGCATTTCAATCTGCTCTTGTATAATTAGCACTGCCTCAGGTTTTACAGTAAATGGTTTGGCTTGCCTTACATTATAAAGATTTTAGGGCCACAGGGTGGTTACAGTATAGAGGTCTAGAGTGTGGTCAGAAGGAAAATGTTCTGGATTTAATGAACACAGCCTTACTGATGTACACAGAGTAAGGGACAAATGATACGAAAAAAGATTTTCAATTCAGTGTTTTGTCTGAAAGTTCTACAATTACAGTAGTGGCCATGAAGCTAGATTGGAAAATAGTTTTTTTCAGTGACGTAACGGCAGGTACGAGATCGTAAAGAGTAAACAAGGCACATGTCTCTTCAGCATTTATTTGTTTCACTTCACATATTTCATTTAGAAAGCTTATGTCATGGATACCTATCAATAATTGGCAGCTAAAAAATGTCTTTCAACACAAATTGTTAGATTCTGTTATTTCACTTGCACAGTATCATAAATCTCGGTCCAGACGGTGGGCTTCCTGAAGGTGGTAGAATGTCTCAAAATCTGCAGGGAATCTGGAAGTAAACCAAATACAATGTATAGTAGTACAATTTCATACTACTACAATCCAAACGAAAATGGTCAAATGCTTCAAAATCAATTTATCAGTAATGTTAAACTCGTGTATATATAGTCTTAAAGAGAGTTTAGGATGTGATATCTTGTAACAAAGCTGTCAAACCTCCTTCATTAGGAGGGAGACTGCCTCATTTTGACCAAAATTGACCGATCTCCCTCGAGACTCCGTCATTCAAGTCCATACTAACACAAACCCAAAATCTACATCCTGTGGTCAAATGAACTCCTAGTAACTGCAGGGTCCATGTAATTATCAAAATAGACGTGTCTGAATTAATTGGGTCTTTTTGGAGTTTTTTGATGCATAAAAAGGAAAGGATTAATTGAGCAAAGCAGTTTCAGTCATATTTAATGCATTTTCTCCCTCATTGGAAATGTGGAAAGAGGGAGATCTCTATCATTGGAGGTTTCGGAGGTTAATACCCACATAAACTAGTGGTAATCCTATTCAGCACTTTAATTACTGCACAAGATTATGATTCTGCTTATTCAAGTTTATGTAAATTGATGAGGTGTAAAATCTGAGTTACCTAGTTAAAATATATTACCATATGTTAACAATATGTTAATAAGTATATGTTAATTGTATAGGCATAACATACAAATTTGTGAAAATTCTCAATGAACATGATTTTACAGTTAAAATATTGGTCACATGAAAGTTTATTACTGAATCCCCCCATCTTGATGGATTGATAATTGAAGGCCCTTGCCTTGGAAGTTGGATAATTTAGTAATTTAAAATACCTAATTCAAAAACAGTGTTACCAGTCAAATCAGATCCCTCAGTATTCCGACATTCTGTCTATTGTTTAACACAACAAACTGATGTAATATCATTTCCCGTAATAAACTATGAAATAAGACCTCAATGTCTGACCTGTATAACACCCCACATGCTGTCGGATTAGACAGGTTTCACTGTGTATGTACCTTGTAGTGATGATTTGGTCTTCCTACTGATGATGTCATCAGGTCTTGACAACAGTGTGGTCCAACAGTCCACAACCTGGAGAAAACAAGCCATTTTAACATGATATAGGGATATTACGGTATTCATACTGAAACTGACAATGTCCAAAGTTATCATCACATCACCTGTAACATTATAAGTTATCATCACGTCACCTGTAACATTATAAGTTATCATCACGTCACCTGTAACATTAAAAGTTATCATCACGTCACCTGTAACATTAACAGTTATCATCACATCACCTATAACATTATAAGTTATCATCACATCACCTGTAACATTATAAGTTATCATCACATCACCTATAACATTATAAGTTATCATCACATCACCTATAACATGTTATAAGTAGATACACAAGTCCCTCTCTTTTCCAGCTGATCCACATTTTCTTGAAAACTTTTAGTATGAAGCAGGCAGTAAAAGCAGATCTCTATAGTGATTCTGCATGTGCTATTTATTAGTGATTGGTTAAAGTGTGGCCGGGTCTTTATAGTGATTCTGCATGTGCTATTTATTAGTGATTGGTTAAAGTGTGGCCAGGTCTTTATAGTGATTCTGCGTGTGCTATCAGTGATTGGTTAAAGTGTGGACAGGTCTTTATAGTGATTCTTCATGTGCTATCAGTGATTGGTTAAAGTGTGGACTGGTCTTTATAGTGATTCTGCTTGTGCTATCAGTGATTGGTTAAAGTGGGGAAGTATAAAAAGCATTTGTGTTTTCTGCTGAACAGATGATTTTTAAGCAGAAAACCTTTCTCCTTAATTACATCCCGAGTAAAAAACATTAAGTGAATATTTTAAACATTGACACATTTATTTATCATCACTTCACCTGTAACATTAAAAGTTATCATCACATCACCTATAACATTTTAAGTTCTCATCACATCACCTATAACATTATAAGTTATCATCACATCACCTGTGACATTATAAGTTATCATCACATCACCTGAGACATTATAAGTGATTATCACATCACCTATAACACTATAATTTATCATCACGTCACCTGTAACATTATACGTTATCATCACATCACCTATAACATTATAAATTATCATCACATCACCTGTGACATTATAAGTTATCATCACATCACCTGTAACATTATAAGTTATCATCACATCGCCTATAACATTAAAAGTTATCTTCACATCACCTGTAACATTATAAGTTATCATCACATCACCTATATCATTATAAGTTATCATCACATCACCTATAAAATTTAAAGTTATCATCACATCACCTGTAACATTATTAGTTATCATCACATCACCTGTAACATTAAAAGTTATCATCACATCACCTATAACATTTTAAATTATCATCACATCACCTATAACATTATAAATTATCATCACATCACCTGTGACATTATAAGTTATCATCACATCACCTGAGACATTATAAGTGATTATCACATCACCTATAACATTATAAGTTATCATCACATCATCTATAACATTATAAGTTATCATCACATCATCTATAACATTATAAGTTATCATCACATCATCTATAACATTATAAGTTATCATCACATCTCCTATAACATGTTATAAGTAGATACACAAGCCCCTCTCTTTTCCAGCTGATCCACATTTTCTTGAAAACTTTTAGTATGAAGCAGGCATTAAAAGCAGATCTCTATAGTGATTCTGCATGTGCTATTTATTAGTGATTGGTTAAAGTGTGGCCAGGTCTTTATAGTGGTTCTGCATGTGCTATCAGTGATTGGTTAAACTGTGGCAAGGTCTCTAGAGTGATTCTACATGTGCTATCAGTGATTGGTTAAAGTGGGGAAATATAAAAAGCATTTGTGTTTTCTGCTGAACAGATGATTTTTAAGCAGAAAACCTTTCTCCTTAATTACATCCCGAGTAAAAAACATTAAGTGAATATTTTAAACATTGACACATTTATTTAATGTCCTACCTTACTGATCTGTGATCTATAAATACATTTGACCCTGACCTTATCATCATAGATAAGATCTGTTTTATGCCACGACACTCAATGGCTCGGTATCTATTATCTCAGGTCATCAAAGTGACTTTATGAATCACAATTTAACTTGAAGTAATGTAACTCAACTGTATCAATATTTTCAGTTTGAAACTACCAATCACAACATTATATAACCTCATAGATTCATCCAAAGGATTTCAAATTTTCTTGTCTAAAACATTGTTTAAAAAAAAGAAGATTTTACCATCATTTCATTGTCTTACCTCTTTAACGTTTCATAGACAGAATCTAAACATCAATCTCTATTCCCAAATTTTTAGAGAAAAAACCTATAGCCCCATTTAGCTTTTATATATATGTCTGTATCATTAAATCCAGCTGACAAAAAACCCACAGAACTTTACAGGACATGGATCTTTAAACATGGTGTGCTGATAAGAGCATACTTTACGGGGTATGACACTTTAATAGATCTGATACCAGACAAACATTGACAGAACCCTGATTACCCTGTAATAGATCTGATACCAGACAAACATTGACAGAACCCTGATTACCCTGTAATTTACTTCCCGGTTGAAGTTTAAACATTACCTAGACATCAAATTGTCACACTCCCTAGTTATCAATACTGGGACATGCCCTAGTGCTATACCGTGTCAACCACTTGGGATTTAAAATAAGGTTCAATCTCAACAACAGGTAGCATTTTAATCTGTCAGTGATATCTAATATCTTCTCAGGACTTTACAGGGAAAAAGAAGGAGGAAAACAGCGTATGTTAAATTACATCTCAAGGACATAAAGATTTGATTTAATAAATAAACAATTGGAAAGACTTTGTGCAATTTGAACAAAACAAACAATTGGAAGGACTTTGTGCAATTTGAACATTTCAATATTAACTACTACTACCACACATCTGTGCGATTTTTTTATAACTACAAGATATTTATTATCATATTAATTTATAATGGCTTCTCAACAGTTAGCCATTAGAGCGAAAGGGAGTACGAAGTGTTGCCACCACAAGACGGAGAATGTCATCTTCGTTTGCAAAGAATCCAGCTGTGGCCACGAGCTAGCATGCATCACATGCGTTACAACAGTTCACAAAAAACACGACTTGGAAAAGATTTCAACCATGATAGAAGGAAAGAAAACCAAACTCAGGCAGTATATCAGCGACGCTGAGCAGCAGGAGTTGGCTAACATTGATCTGGTTATTCAGTCAACCGAGCAAAAACTCACGAAAAATTCCGAGACATTCAAGAGCATTGAAGAGCAGATGAAGAAACATGCAAAAGAATGCAAAGATCAGATTGACCAATTCATGAAAGAATTTATATCAAAATGTAGCCAGGTTGAGGAAGAAAACAAGGAAACCCTTGCTGAATACAAAAGGGAATTACAAAAGATGAAGACACAGATGAATGACCGCATAGCGAATTGTAAGTCAGCTCTACAGAAGGGAACTGACGTTGAAATCTTCGACATGGGGATGGAGATTGTTAATGGTAAACTTGTTATTCCAGACACACCCAATCTAACTGTTGGTCAGTTTGAGGCGTGTCAGGGCTGCAATCTTAAGTCTTCCTTCGGTAAGTGGAAAGCCATGGATGAAAAATGTCAGGCACAGATCGTGATTCGGCCTGCCTAGCTGGATCAAACCTCCACTAGGGGGCACTGCCTGCAAAGCTGGGTCAAACCTCGACCAGGGGGCACTGCCTGCAAAGCTGGGTCAAATTTCCACCAGGATTCTTAAGTGTAACCACCCAGCTAAAACTTCCAGTAATTAACGGAATATTAAATTATAGAAACTGTGTAGTGTGGCATTTTGTGAAGATTGTTCTTAAGGGATACTGGAAACATTTGAATTATTTTTAATTGTCAATATTTTGTTGGTTTGTGACACTTATGATACCAGACGTTATTGGATGATGATGATGATTTTGTTGTTACCAACTATACCGATTGGGGTATAACAATATTTCACTTATCTATTAACTAAAGCAAACTTTGTAAAGGCAAGTTATGTACACTACTAGTAACAGATTAGTGTTTTACACAGCCTTAACTCAAATAATCTAATAAACAAACCTTCGGAAGAACCTGATCCCAGGGCTCTGATTGGATGCCAGTGATGTAGGCAGGTAACACCTGCCTTGGAGACACACTTGGTTTCCATGGTAACTTAGGATCTTGTGTGTTGGAGGACGATATATCTGGACAAGTCAGTAATTGTGTAGTGACACTTAAAACACACGCGGAGGAAGTGGACATCCACAAACACAGGACTGCAGCAATTATATCAACAGCCAAATCCATCACCTAGAAAACAAAACTTTAATGTGATTTTACACACATGTCCAAGAGCATATTGTAAATTATGGATGATTTCACTAAATTCAGACTTGTTGGCAAGAGAACTATTTACTCTTTTGATGTTAGGAAATTTAGATTTCAGCCTAAGATTCTTGTGAACCTGGTGTCATATATACATTGATCCTGTAAGTATTAAGGGATGGACTGAAGTTATTAGTGTATATCTTCTTTTGAGATTTCTTTAATCCATTGTTATCTAATTTCATTGTTTCATTGTAAATTAAAGATTTGTAAATTTACATCGAGTCACTTGATGTTTCATCAAAAGAAAAACAATCACAAAATCAGAGGTTTGGTCTGGTTTAATTTTGTTTAACGTCCTAATAACAGCTAAGGTAATTTAATGACGTGCCTCCATGTGTGTAGCGTACGCGTGCTTGCGTGTGTGTTTGCAGGAGACAGGGTATGTTGAGGTGCTTTCCACCTTGTGACAGTGTGGATCTGATGCCGACTTTATAGTGCCATCTCACTGAAATACCATGCCGAAGGCACCCAGCACAGCATTCCGCCCGGTCACATTATACTGACAATGGGTGAACCAGTTGTTGTCATTACCCTAAATGCTGAACGTTAAGCAGGGAATAACAACTACCATTTTTCAGGTATTTGGTAAGTCCCGGTCTGGGGACAGAACCCATTGCCTTCCTCACCTGGGCGAACACTCAACATTAAGGCCAAAAGTAAGGTGTTGCCAAGCAAGGCACTAGGATATAAAAGGAAGTTAGAAGTAGGAAGAAAGGCAAAGATCCCAAATATTGCAACGGGCGCAGCAGATTTATTTTGGTCGCTTTTATGTCCCCAAATAGAGGACACCAAAACAAATCCCCAATTCTGTAGGGGGTTCAACATTAGCCGCCTCCTACGATACAGTGGGTAACAGCAGGTGTATTCTTTTCCCGATCCCCCACCTGCAGGGGTGAACAAAATCAGAGGACCTCATTATCCAGTTTAGCAGCAAATCCAAATACATTGTACGAGGATAGGTATTTGATTAATACTTCAAGCATACTTATAACTCGAAATGTTCATGGGTATTTCCTTTCATGGTTTAAAGCCATTTAGATCATTACATGGTACAAACTGTTGTTGATACCCCATATAAACAAACAGTAGTCAAGGATATCAATCAAATATGTTGTATTACAGTATTTTGGTTGTTACAAAGCAACCACAAAAACCACAAATGTTTATACATAACGAACATTTCATGCTATACAGTACCATAGAGCGTACACTTTGTTACTAACAAACAACTTCAACAAAATCAAAGGTTCGTGGATATCCTGATACTTATCCTTTGAAGATAACAGAGGAGCCAGACTCAAACCAAGGCCAGTCGGTTTTACTGTTGTACATGTACTGATATACAGCTAACAGTATTATATTTTGCATCAGACGGAACACAGGTTTTCAGAATTCTATTACCATTTCCAGACTAGTCAACTCATGTTGTCCGCAAGGTGACATTATAGAACTTTTAATTTTGTCACAATATATTCCCAAAGTGCAGAGAAGTGAATGATATATATATATATATATCAAGAATCTTTGGATTTCAAAGATGACGCACCAGGAAGTGTACATTAGACTGATGCTACCAACGTGAAAACAATGAACAGTTTGATAAGCCCAATCATAACGCCCCGCCTTGTCCTGTGGAAACAGATAGCATCAATAACAAATGGTAATAGTTACCATTAAATGGCATGGCCACTCCATGACCTTACCAAAATAAGACTGCATCGGCTGTATTGGTAACATCATCATTTGATGATGTCATCAACATAACCTTAGGTAACACTGCAGACCCTACCAGGAAGATGGTTGTTCTATTGACTAAATTAGCATACATGATTCTGTGTAGTTGGCATTCATAGGCAATATGAATGTAAAGTGACACAGGCAAATTCAACAGGAAGTGCTATTTAAGGCTGTTAGCTCTTGGTAATATTTTTGAGTGTGAATCTTATCAAAAATAGGCAAATTATGTTTACATATTAAAACCAGAATGGATGATTATACTCTTCACGAATGTAATTCTTGATTGATGGAAGAAATCAGAGTTCCTGCAGAAAAACACTGTCATTGAAGAGAAATATTAAAAAACTCAACCGATTTATCAAAAGTTCAACTGCAGGTTAAAATCTAATATTGTCATTGATCAGCTAGCCTTACTGTAGTCAGCTTCAATGAAACAACCTTATACAAAGTTTACTTTCAGTGTCTAAATCAATCCATTAATCTCCTTTTTTAACCTTTCTCCCTTAGAAATCTCAATGAAATTGTTCGATGCTTTTCTTTGAGGATTTTAAGAAGTTTCCTTAATTTAAGGGCTCAAAGTGATTCGAGATTTACCTGTGTTTTGTCTGTAATATCGTCTGACAGAGTTGTGGCCCCTGTCGCTATGTTACGGACATGTCCCAAGAGTTCTACCAGCCAATGTAACTTTGGAATGACCCCTGTGAACTCTGACCTACTCTGGGTCACCTGATAGAAGCAGTGCTGTAGGTATGTAGATATCAAAGAATGGTTGCTGAAAAAAATATAACAACAATGGTGAAGTGTGTTTTCTTATAAATAATAGGTCTGGAGGGCCTACAACTGGCTTATATTACCCTGCACATGTAAAGAAAGAAAGAAAGAAAAAAAACCAGAATGCATAATTTTATGCTTAGGGAAGCTTTGAAAAATTAAATTAAAGAATATTTAGAATTTGCACTCAAACTGGCAACAATCTGTAAGGGTCATGAGAGAAAATTATTTTTGGCTTAGATTTGTTGAAGTTCCAGTTTTGACTTTATATAGAACAGCTAGGGTCATACTATACCAGTATCCACAGGTAATAGGGCCATTTTATAGTGCAATCTCACCGAAAGGTCGCTACCTAAGACCTGTAGTACGACACCCCAACATTAGGACTACAGATTAACTACAGTTTCCATATCATTTGAAAGAAAGAGAAGGGAAAACAGTTCCACTGTGTTGCATTGAGGAAATCAAATCAAGTATCTTTTGTCTCCTCAGTGGTCCAAGTAAGAGGGCTTAGAAGAAAAACCCTGACTCTGCTCGGCTCACATTAAGTTGTATCATACAATTATGCAGTGGAGTACTAAAGCAGGACACTTCTGTTTCCTGTCTGTAAACCTATACCAGACAGAGCAATTCTAGAGAAGAAGATGATAATATCTTGGTCAATCAGAAGCCATGGTTATAATATTGATTTTGAGGGGACTAATAGTCAAGTCCATAATTGGATAAAACTTATGAGGTTGGTTTGAAATTTTAATGACCATATTCAGGAGAAGTTGAAACGTATTAAGAATGAGAAGCCAGGGTAGCTCTCTTCAATTTTGACCACAAATCAGGGACACAAACCCAAACCTTCATCATAATAATAACTGGTAACCATGGTAACTGGTGCTTACCATCTCTTGTTATTGAAGGTAGCATCAATACAGCTGTTGAGAATGGTGATGGGTTGCTTCCCTTGAACCACCAGGTAACAGCGAACCAAACAGCCTTTGGAATGACTCGCGTCGTAAAGGAAATCCTCGCCAGTTATCTTGTCAAACAGATCGTCGGGCAGGTTACCAAGGCAATCGGCTACCAGACACAGTACTGGCACCTGTAATACAAATACATTTTTTTTAAACATTTCAGAGTTCAGAGTTAAGTCAGAGTTAAGCCAAGAGACACAGGCCTATCACCTATGTAGTTCTGTACCTCAATCAGAGACCCAGGTACCTTCTATCAATTTTAATCTAATGTACTTTCTACTGGTTTTGCTACCTAATTTACAGCTGTGAGGCTATTCAATGAGAGACTCAATATTTTGCTGAGATTTTGGTTTTTTCTTTTAACTCTAGCCTAATTTTATTTTCTTTAATCTGTTGTCCCTCTAATGGACAGTTGGTTAGAAAGATTGATTATGTTTTCAGAAACAAAACCCACAAAAAAATTTAGTCTGAGAAAATATTATAAATCAAGCCAATGATCAGTGCAAGGTGACATCCACCAGTGACTGCAGATTCCCAACTACACTTATTTTACATAGTTGTTTCAGAATTTATGCCAATTTTAAGTCTTTCTTCTCTGACTGAGGTGTTTATTGTACAGAGTATAGAATAGTGAATACTCCCATAGTGTCTCGGGAAATAAACTCTCAAAATCATTTCTTAAACAAGTCTCCGTACCTGTGTACATGATGAAAGTTTGGAGTAGAACGTTGCCACAGCCTTGTAGAGGACAGCAGTCACTGCCTCTGGTGGGTCGTTGACCTTTAGAGCGTTGGTCAGTCCTGCTAGGACGTGGACTAGAGCTGGACTTGTGTCCCCGTCCTGGCCAATGTATGGCTCACTTGATCCTACTCCCAGGAGCGAGCCGATGGCTGTTGGTGCGATCGAGCAAATCAGTTTTGGTAAGGCGTCATAGAGGACAATCTGACATCCCTCCTGTACAAATCAAGGAGGGAGGTTTAAAATGCTATGAACCAAAGTTAATTGCTAGTTCTGGGCTCTTTCAAAAAAATTATTCAAGACTATTACTATAGTTATAACACAACACTGTATAATATAAAACTATATATAATGTTTTGTTGTGCCCAAACATGATACAGTAAGCATGAAACGGATTATAAACATTGTAATTGTCTGCATACTACAACTACTCCAAGGTACTGCTGTGATACTTTAGCTCCTTCATGACAGGAATATGTGTACGTATTAAGGGACAGCTCCAGCTCCCTCCAAAGGGCTGAATTTGATACTGTTGCTGGGAGTCAAACCCGCACCTGGCTCGTCAATGATATAAACTTACGTCTAGTGTGCTGAGCAAAGGCAAGGTCATCCAGGTCGTGAGGAACATGGCCGCTGTGGGGGCTGATCCACTCTGTTTTACCGCCAACTTTACACTCAGACGTCTAACCTTATCACCTAGAAACAATAAAACTAGAAATAATACATAATCGTCTAAAAGTCTGATATCTTTTTTTTAAATTTTATTATTAAATTGAGTAGGGGCTTATGAAGCTATATCCTTCAGTCTGAAGGTCCTAGATTCCATTGAGAATGAGCTTGCTCCTAGGATTAGATGGATTTATAACTAATCATCACTAGTTACATCTCCTCTAAAGTGATAATATTTACGCCAGTGAACACACTGTATACATACAGCGACTACCATCGAAGACTTACCAAAACCCATCCTCATCATAGGAGTTAACACCCCTGCCCAGTTGACAGGGGGCAGTGCCTGTTCCACTTCCTCTTGTAGCGAGGTCAAGGCCACCTCTACTTGTTCTTTCGGCACAGTTTCTGCTCCTGGAGATTTACATAAAATGTGACAGCTAAATAACTTTTTAAAACTTGAAAAATATATATATTTTTTTTAATTTTCTTTTTTCTTTTTTTTTTCTTTTTTTTTTTAAATTTTGGTAAAACAATACTGCCTGTTTCTTATCTGTAGATGATGTTTTCAAAACTATAAATATTTTTTGATAAACAGCAATTTAAGATATGATATAAATGAAAAGTCTAGCCATTGTCTGCAATTATTTCTCAAAATACACGCTAACACAGAGCTACCTTACCAGTCTATCTAAAAATTTGTCTCATGACTTCACCAGTCCCTGTTAACATTCTCGACACTCACCTGCTTTACCAGCCTCAGACCTCACCAGTCCCTGTTAACATTCCAGACACTCACCTGCTTTACCAGCCACAGACTTCCCCAGTCCCTGTTAACATTCCAGACCCCCCCCTGCTTTACCAGCCACAGACTTCACCAGTCCCTGTTAACATTCCAGCCACTCCCCTGCTTTACCAGCCACAGACTTCACCAGTCCCTGTTAACATTCCCGACACTCACCTGCATTAATACCAGCCTCAGACTTCACCAGCCCCTGTTAACATTCCCGACACTCACCTGCTTTACCAGCCTCAGACACAAAGTCTACGATAGCTCTTAGGAAACTTTTCTCAGGCAGGTAACCGTAGGTAGAGGGTACTGCAATGTAATAGTACAATCTAGTCACACCAAGAATGTCATATTGTAACATGTACGGTGGTGTAATTGATAGTATTTATATTTACTGTAAAGTGTTAGCTGTATAGTGTAAATATTTACGGTTTAGCGCCTACATTTTTGGTAGATTTTATTTTCATTCTATTTTGACTTGTAAAAATCCACAAAAATTTGTTGTTATTTTCAAACATGTATACTTATTACCGGATCATTACTGATTATTATGTTACGTGAGATATTGTGAATTGTTTCAGGAAAAAATTACCTGAAATTTGTCAGATGAATTTATATTATATATATATTATTATCCATAGACATGCTTTTTTGAAAAAGTCTACACCACTCCTGAATTTCTCCTTTACAAGATCTGAGACTTTGGTCTAAAAAATCTAATTTTCTTTTGCATACAAGAGGTACATGACTCTTAATTTTCCATTATTCAAACAAACGTCCCCACACATAATCACCACAAACTTACCACTAGCTCTTGTGTCTGCTACAGCACATGCTGACAGATACAAATGACCCAGCATCCACGCCGCATTGTTCTGAATGCCAAGGTCGTTTCCACTGGTGACAATCTGAGATGCGACCTTGATGACATCATCAGCGTTGAGGTCACTGCTGCTGACCGAGCCACTCTGGACCTTGAATAGAACAGAGAGAATCACCATCTTTCAAATTAAACAAGGTGAAAATTTACTGGTCATTTGGAGTTTTTCAGATTATCTTTGGAATAAAGGTTTATGTCTACCCACATATATCTTAATTACAATTAACTGAAGATAATTTGGAAGGAAAAATAGAAATTGTAACAAAAATGGTCCTACCGGTATAAGTGTACCTACCGGTATAAGTGTCCTCTCTGAGCCAATCAAAGCCATCAGTCCGTTCAATATGGCTACCTTCTCCATGGGTGCGGTCCCCTGAAAGTTGACAATGCATTATTTTTGTTCATTTTGGAGTCATTCGATACAATTCAGTAACACTATGTCATATTATACTACTGAAAAGTTCCCCTCTCTCCATGTTATCACCCTTACTGTTTTACTTCGACACATTTAAAAACATATTTTTTTTACAGATATGTGGCTGCTGGTAGGTCCAATCTAACTTACACTTAAAAAGAGTCTTATAATCAATTTGTTTTCAAAATTTTGCAAATGTCAACAAATCTTACTGTCCAATTTTTTGAGACTTGTACAGTGTATATGACAAAAAATATCAGCCTTTTCTGTGATAGAAACCTTTTCAAATTTAAATTACAACAGTTACTACTTTTCAGACCTCATTTTTGACATAAACATTTCAAATCTTATCTTAAACATATCACTTCAAGTCTTACCTCAGATGAGACAGCTTTCATCCAGGTACCAAACAGCCTGACCCTCACATCCCCTATCCCGGGGTGACCGGCCCTACTGAGACTGTAACAGAGCATGCCCAGGGCCAGAGATACTCCAGTTACCTGTGGATTTAAGTTTTACTGGTGTAATGAGACTGTAACAGAACATGCCCAGGGCCAGAGATACTCCAGTTACCTGTGGATTTAAGTTTGTACTGGTGTAATGAGACTGTAACAGAACATGCCCAGGGCCAGAGATACTCCAGTTACCTGTGGATTTAAGTTTGTACTGGTGTAATGAGACTGTAACAGAACATGCCCAGGGCCAGAGATACTCCAGTTACCTGTGGATTTAAGTTTGTACTGGTG